CACAGTTTAGGGACCGCGGCGTTTTTGACCTACACAAAAATATATAATTAATGAGCCGTTCATACAAAGATTGTCATTGCTTGAAAGGGGGCAATTAATTGATGAATTGATGCCGATGTTGATACAGGCATGCATTGTTACCGGATCTGAGTACGTGTGCAAAATGTGGAATTGATTAGACAACAGGAAGTAGACTAACTCTTGATTACAAGATTTGACCACGACAAACACAAGTGAAGTGAAATACAACCGTTGAAAAAGATGTGAAATAGTGTCGAGGCCAGATGATGTGCCTTCTTGTACCCCAATGGCTCTGGATCTTATGGTGTGTGTGTGTGGGAGTTATCCACAATCACACACACACCTACTAGATACTCACACCAAGATATCCTCACACACAGATACACAAATACAAAGATCCCCCATATAGCCTTAACAGACTGTAGGGGTAAGTACTGTTATCGAGCACCTATAAAGGCCAGAACGGTACACGAGAGGGTGGGTGACCAGCATCACGCTTAGACCACCAGGTAACCATTTGAGGCCAAGTCGACCTAGGGGAGGCCCAGGACCAGTTCAGATAATCGTCATCGGTGTTAGCCGTGAGCGGGAATCAAACTCGGGTCGCTAGGTTCGTAGCGCAGCACCACTGCTCACCACCACACTACCGCCTCCCACTCGCACACAGACATTCAAAGATAAAAAGACAAAGATCCCCCGTGTAGCCTTAACAGACTGTTGGGGCAAGTGCTGTTAGCGAGCACCTATGAAGGCCAGAACGGTACACGAGGGGGTGGGTGGCCAGCACCACGCCCGACCGCCTTTGTCTCCCCAGTGCGAGGTTTGCACACCGCACCGGTACTCATTTGAGGCTGAGTCGACCTCGGGGAGGCCCGGGACCGGTTCAGATAATCGTCACTGGTGTTGGCTGTGAGTGGGAATCGAACCCGTGTCGCTGAGTTTATAGCGCAGCACGCTAACCGCTACACTACCGCTCCCCACAGATACACACACACACAGATACACACACACCGATACACACACACCGATACACACACACCCATACACACACCCATACACACACACAGATACACACACACACACAGCTACACACACACAGATACACACACACAGATACACACAGATACACACACACAGATATACACACACAGATATACACACACAGATACACCCACACAGATACACACACAGATACACACACACATATATACACACACACACAGATACACACACACAGATATATACACACACCCATACACACACACACAGATACACACACACAGATACACACACACAGATACACACACACCGATACACACAAACCGATACACACACACCGATACACACACACCGATACACACCGATACACACAAACCGATACACACAAACCGATACACACACACCGATACACACCGATACACCGATACACACACCGATACACACACCGATACACACACACCGATACACACACACAGATACACACCGATACACACACACACAGATACACACCGATACACACACACAGATACACACACACAGATACACACAAACCAATACACACACACCGATACACACACCAACACACACCAACACACACACACACACGTGGTGCCAGGTGGTGGCTTTGCCCTCCCCGTGCGCCTAGGAGGAGCCCCCTTCTCGACCACTTACACCAATTAGCGGCTAATTAGTCATGTCAGGAGGAGGGAGGGAGGGTGCGGAGTCTGTGCCCCTCCCTTCTCCTGACCCCCCGCAGTCTCCTCATCCATGGCCTCGTTAAATAATCACCATTGTCATGGATACCGCTGGTGCCACCACCACCACCCCTCGCCACCAGCACCGCAGCTCCCTCTCTTGTGGGGGAGTTCAATCCCTGCCTGGGGTCCGGGGTGGAGGGAGATGTCGGGGGCGATAGGGTTAGTTGTAGTCGCGGGGTTGCCACGATCCTACCACGTGTAACGTACGATGTAGCATATCCACGAGAATCGTATCGTCCATCCGGCAACGTATCGTCCGTGAATACCCCTGTAAACCCGCATCACGACTCGCAGTGAGCCTCGACTATTGTAGAAGTTAATTTAAACACATTCCTCCTGCGGAGGGAGCTGGTAGGAACGTTGGGTTGCTCGGTCAATGGCCAGGGTCAATGGCGGCGTGGTGTATTCCGCAAATATGCCCGACTGAGGGCGGGCACAAGCCGGCGTGAGTAGGTTAAACGTTGAGTTTTATAAGGGCACCACGGGGTGACCAGCCCCTCCCCACCCAGCCCCACCCCTCCCAACCCCCACCCTACCCCACCCTCCCCACTCAGCCCCTCCCCACCCTCCCCACCCAGCCCCTCCCCACCCAGCCCCACCCCTCCCAACCCCCACCCTCCCCACCCAGCCCCCCCCTACCCAGCCCCACCCCTCCCAACCCCCACCCTACCCCACCCTCCCCACCCAGCCCCTCCCCACCCTCCCCTCCCACCCAGCCTCACCCTCCCCACCCAGCCCCACCCTCCCCACCCAGCCCCTCCCTGCACGACGGACACAATAATCCCCTGTGGGCTGGTGTAACCAGGAGGTTCCTACCAGTATTATATTTCTTTCTTGTTCTGTCACTGACAGTTGCGTGCGTTATGTGCGTCTGTGTGCTGCAAAGTTTTACCCGGGATTACAGGACCGACCCACGGGCAGGTTTACGTCGAGTGATCCGCAGTCGAGGAACTTTAAGGCAATCTCCAGTGGTACTGAAAAATGTTGTTTACGTTTACAAGACGATGAGACATCGATTTCGCGATAATCGTCATTCGTCGTGAACGTTGATATTATATCTAGAACACTTGTATCACGGCGACGCTCGGACGAGTAGGTCGTAACGACGCATCAATTCGTAAATCTGCCGATGAGATTGTGTCTGAGACGCACAGTACGTACAGTCAGTATAGCACGTGCTTTCATAACGCAAATTGGATACAACGCGATGAATGTATTAGGGAACACGTCTTTTTATGACGCGGATGCCAATTGGATATCACGCGATAGACTGAACAGAAACTGCGTCGCGAGTAGAAATTGGTGGTTGTACCGCTGCCTCAGGGTAGCATCGCACGAGGCATTGGGATGCTGCTGGGTGCTTATTATAGATGGCACCCACGTGCCTCAGTCATTTTTCAGCCTGCGTACGCATCTAACGTGTTATAATTACGCGATTCTTCCATAACGCGGTGGTTCTTTAAGAAGGCAACTACTACCGTGTTATAGGTGAACAGACTATTTGTCTGTTTACTCACCTAACACCATCTGTGTCTGAGGTTGTGTGTCTATGTGACCGTGGGGAGCAGTAGTGTAGTGGTGTTAGCGCGCTGCGCTACAGACATGGTAACCCAAGTTCTATTCCAGCTCACGACCAGCACGAGTGACGATTATCTGAGCCGCTCCTGGGCCTCTTTTAGGTCAACTCGGCCTCAAATGAGTACCTGGTGCGGTGTGTAAACATCGCCACTAGGGAGACAAAGGTGGCCGGGCGTGGTGCTGGCCACCCTCCCCCTCGCGTGCCGTGCCGGCCTTCATAGGTGCTCGCTAACAGCACTTGCCCCAACAGTCTGTTTAGGCTATATGGGAGGGATCTTTGTATGTCTGAGGCTTTGTGTGACTATCCGTACATCTGTGAGGCTCTGTAACCGCCTGCGTATCTGAGGAGCACCTAGCCTGGCACAGGTGCTGCAGTGACGTCACTGCCACTTTGTGGCGAATGGCAGTTGTTGCATATCCGAGGCTGTGTGTTTGCGCGACTGCTTGCGTGTTTATTGGACAGTGTGTTCATCTGTCGAATGAGTCGGTGCTGTGCGTATGCCCATGATTCCCGCTGTGTAGCCATCTATGTTGAACCGTACCTAGCCAACCGTGCTAATCGGAGGTGAACTATGAGACTGGAAAGAAAGCCTCGGTGAAATAGACTTACATTGGACACAAAACAACGCACGGATCTCCTCTGTCGCCTTATGGCACTGTAGGAACAAGTGTTTTTAGCAAGCGCCTATTAAGGCTGCCACAACAAGCGGTGGTGTGGTGCGTTGGCATCGCCCTCGGCCACGATCGCCTTTCCCCAGTGCTGGAATGGACACCACACCAGACGCCTTTTGTTTTATTGCCGAGTCTTTCGAACGTGCAGAGCCTGGACAGATTGATGTGGAGCACATGCCGCTGTTGCACGGCTAGAAATTGAACCCAGGTCGCCGGGTTTCTAGTGCAGTGATTTTCCGCCAACCAATTTTGCCATCATTCCTCACGCAAAGACGCACACGTACACACGAGTGCATACGTACACGTATTACCATATTCGCACGTGTGCATGGACAACATAAACATACATTTCGATTTAAAGCTTTCGTGACTGCAGGGATTCATCTTCTTGGTTCTTTCGGTAAAGTCACGTAGAAGGGAAATATTTTATTAAGAACCAAGGAGAAAAAACGTAAACATACTCGAAACGCAAAGATTCTCCATATAGACTGTCCGGGCAGGTGCTGTTGGCGATCGAGTAGGTGGCCAACGTCACGCCAGGTCGCCTCTGTCTCCCCAGTTCTGATGTTTTATGCACCACATCAGGTCGGCTGAGTTGACCTAGGGGAGGCCCAGCGCCAATTAAAATATCCGCCACTTGAATTAGTCGTTACTCGGGTAGCCGTGTAATGCGCTTACCACTATACTACCGCTCCGCATACTTAAACACAACACTCCTACACACACCTACATGCACACACCTATGTACACACTCGCAAAGACAAACATCCCTCACACCAAGTGCTGTTGTGCGTACGTATATTGAACTTCTTCCGCATCGTACGTACGCAGCCAACCGTGTTCATCGGAGGTGCACCACACATCGGGTGCCCTTTTAAGGCTGAGTAGACCTAGCATCTACTAAGCCTCTTGCACATGCTCTTATGCGCGCGCACACACACTCACGCTCGCTCTCTCTCCCTCTCCCCACAGGAGCCGACTGTCGGTGGGGGAGCTCCCTGGCAGCAGGGCCCATGAACAGCGAGGTGGCGGCCGTGGCCCCCATCAGCCTGGTGCCCCGCGACACCAAGTGGCTCACGCTCGAGGTAGCCCCCCCCCCCCCCCCCACATCTCCGCAACCCCCTTGAGGCTCCCCCAAACTTCCCTCGACTCTTCTCAATTTATACCGTCGCCTACGCACTGATGGCCACAGCCGCCCCCCTTCACACCCCCTACCTCCACACACCCCTCCACCTCCACACCCCCCCTCTCCACACCACCCACTACTAACCCCCCCTCCACACCCCCCACCTCCACACCCCCCCTCCTCCCCACACCCCTCCACCCCCCCTCTCCACACCCCCCCCACCTTATACACTATCCACGAATCCACCCCCAGACGTCCCTCTACGCTATCCCTCGGAGCCCCCTAGACTCTCCTAGCCGCCCCTCCAGACCCCACGGAGTGGTTCTGTACAAACTCCCGCCCCCGCTAGCTCTGCCTCCAGTCCTCTGCTGCCCACCCCCCCCACCCCCCGCATCCCCCGAGCTGTCTCTCCACACATCCCCGAGTGGCCCCCCCAGACTTCTCCTCTGACCTCCCTTATGCCGCCCCTACCGCTGTACAATTTCAGCCGTGTTACTCGCCACGTTTAGTCCGTTGTCCTTCCCTCCCGCACCTCCGATTAGCACGGTTGGCTACGTACGGTGCGAAAGAAGTTCAACATACGTACATGACCGAGAAGCAGGGGTCTCCGTATGTCAAACGGCCAAAGAGGCTTTCCGACTGGGTTGAACGTATTTATTTTCATGTCTTTGCAAAGTGAAAGTCAATGGTTGGCCAAGACGTCCCGAGCGCACGGTTTTTCGACGAATTCCACACAGCAGCAAAGTGTCTGGCTGTAGAATTGGTAGCGCGCGCATGCAGAGTGCAGCACCGCTACGCAACGCTGCTGCCTGACCACATCTCACGGGGACCGCCGCCGTTACCTAATTTGTCCCATGTGCCTATTCTAGAGTCACATCTACCCCTGGTGGGCCGGGGAGTCGTCGCCCCTCCCCCCCGAAACACTCGCTCGTGAAGCCCTCCCGTAGGCCCTTTTGCGCCACCCCCCACCAGACACCCCCACCCCCGCACTGCCGTTCCCCCGGATCCGTCAAGCTCTGTACACGCAGTGTGTGTGCGCGTGCTCGTGAGCAAGATCCATAGTTTTTTTTTTTAGTCGGATCGTGTAAACATAAAAGCGTGTCGTTAAACCCGCTGTCAGGTAAACCAAACGTGCCAATCAGTCACTGCTTCAGCACACCGGTGTGTTGGAGAGTCAACCCACAGCGTTTACAATTTGAGTACTGTGAGGTATCGCCGGCGATTACAACAACCAGCTCCGACAGGCGATTAGCCAGGATTGTGAAAAAGTCTTCCTCTTTCGGTTTTAAATTTTGAGTAAGCTATTAAAACCCGTGAGCAAGAGTTCTCTTGCGTGTGTGCCTGCCCAGACCTGCGTGCGCACCCGTGTACATGTGTCGTGTGTGTGTACGCATGTCGTGTGTTCACCCGTGCCTGCGTAGGTGTGCCGTGAGTTCCAGCGGGGCGCGTGCTCGCGCACTGCGGAGGAGTGTCGCTACGCCCACCCCCCCAAGCACGTGAGCGCCCCCCACGGGCGCGTCATAGCCTGCTTCGACTCACTCAAGGTGCGTGCGTGCGTGCGCGTGCGTGCGCGTGTGTGTCTTCGTGTGAGTGGGGTCATCTCAGTCAGTCGACCCGTGGCACCCGGGTCTGCCCCGTGATCTCCTGCCAGCGGGCGTTCGACACTTCACGTGGCCTCAAGGTGCACATGGCCTGGCACAAGCGTCGTGGTGATGTCACCGCCACTTAGTGGCGAATGGCGATTGTTGTTGTGGGGAGCGGTAGTGTAGCGGTTAGCGCGCTGCGCTATGAACCTGGCGACCCGGGTTCGATTCCCGCTCATGGCCAACACCCAGTGACAATTATCTGAACCGGTCCTGGGCCTCCCCTAGGTCGACTCAGCCTCAAATGAGCAACCGGTGCAATGTGTAAACATCGCCACTGGGGATACAAAGGCGGTCAGGCGTGGTGCTGGCCACCCACCCCCTCGTGTACCGTTTCGGCCTTCATAGGGGCTCGCTAACAGCACTTGCCCCTACAGTCTGTTAAGGCAATACGGGGGATCTTTGTGTGCGTGGGTGGGTGGGTGGGAGGCTCGTGAGGGAAGCTGCTACTGGGCAGTTGGAGGCGGTCGTTTTCCATCAACAACAGAGGGCAGAGAGAGCAACACTCACAACAATGAGCGCCAGGTGGCTAAAATGCAGCAAGTTGGCACGGTAGGGGGCACAGCAGAGGACCTGATTTCGGTTCCCTCTCGGTCAACATCAGTGGCAAATATCTGAACCAGTCCTGGGCTTCCTCTAGGTCGACTCAGACTTAAATGAGTACCTGGTTCGGTGTGTAAAAACATTAGCATTGGGGAGACAAAGTCGGCTTGGCGTGGTGCTGGCCACCCACCCTTCAGTGCCGAACAAGCTTAATAGTCGCTCGCTCACAGGACTTGGCCCAAACGGTCTGTTGAGGGTATAGGTGGGATCTTTGTCTTTTGTGAGCGTATCTGCTTGTGCAGGTGAGTGTGCGAACGCGATCGGTGCGAGTGTCCCAGTGAGCCCGCGGGTGAGTGAGTGCGTGTTCCTGCGTGCGCACGCGTGTGATCGTCCACAACTGTATTTAGTTTGTTGTCCTTTCCACGCATAAGTGTACGTCCTCGTGCGCGGAACCCTCGGGTGTGTGCGTGTGCGTCACATTGCGTGCGCGCGTCATCACTGTGTCAGGGCCGCTGCACGCGTGAGAACTGCAAGTACCTGCACCCGCCCGCGCACCTCAAGACGCAGCTCGAGATTAACGGCAAAAACAACCTGATCCAGCAGAAGAACCTCACGGCGATGGCGCACATGCAGATGATGGCGCCCTCCATGCTCGCGCCCATGCACTCCTACCCCCAGCTGGTGAGGGCGTTGCCTCCCCCCCCATTTCCCCCCCACTTAAACCCCAAAATTAGATGATCCTGGTGCACGCGTGTGTGTGTTTGTGTGTGCGTGCCTGTGTTTGTGTGTGTGCGTGCGTGCATATGTGTGTTTGTGTGTGCGCTTATGTGCGCTTGTGTGTGCAGGTCTTTGTATCTGCCTTCATAGGTGCTCGCTAACAGCACTTGCCCCAACAGTCTGTTGAAGCTATACGGGGGTGGGGGGGGGGGTCTTTGTGGTGTCTGCACGCACATGGGGAACGGTAGTGTAGCGGTTAGCGCGCTGCGCTACGAATCCGGCAACCCGGGTTTGATTCTCACTCACACCAGCGACGATTATCTGAACCGGTCCTGAGCCTCCACTAGGTCGTAAACATCGCCACTAGGGCCGTGCCGACCTTCATAGGTGCTCACGAACAGCACTTTCATGGGAATAGACACATGGCCCCATGGGTAGTGACGCGTGGGGCACCCTGGGTAAAGATTCACAACCGCCCCTCCTCTTGCTGGAGATACGCAGCACAAAAGCTGGGCGTGCACTGCACTCGACCCCATGATCCCCTGCGACGCCATGTCCTCTCGACCCCATGACCCCCGCAGAGCATGTACTCGCAGCCGGCCTCCCCGATGCCATACCTGAGTTACCTGTCCCCGGCGACCCCGGGCCTCGGCTACCTCCCTCCGGATGTCCTGGCCACGGCGGGGGGTGCCATGCCGGGCACCCACGCGGCGCTCGTCATGAACGCGCATGCGCCCGGCGCCATGGCGGCGGCAACGGCCGCTGGCGCCCTGCAGCCCGGAATGCGACCCCTCCGCACGGACAAGCTGGACGTACGTACGCACGACACGCACGGACAAAGATCCCCCGTATAGCCTTTGACAGACGGTAGGGGCAAGTGCTGTTAGCGAGCACCTGTGAAGGCCGGCACGGTACACGAGGTGGTGGTTAGCCAGCACCACGCCCGGCCGCCTTTGTCTCCCGAGTGGCGACGTTTGCACACTGCACCAGGTACTCATTTTACGCTGAGTCGACCTAGAGAAGGCCAAGGGCCGGTTAAAATATTCACCACCGTTAATGGTCCTGAGCGGGAATCAACGCGCTCACCACTACACAACCACTCTCCACACGCACACATACACACACATCAAGACCAACCGCCGTTTGCCATGAAGTGGCGATGATGTCACCACGGCGCTTATGCCAGGCTAGGTGCACGCTGAAGCCACGTGAAGTGTCATATATACACACAGGCATAATCACTCGCATGCATGCACGCACACAGACAGGCATATACTGGCGACGCACACTCGTACTCAAATAAAGGTGACCGCCAAACCGAACCAGCCATCGCGTCGTCATCACGCCTACCCGCTCCCACCACCTCCCTGCGCCACGCCTCACCACCAGGTGTGCTCGGAGTTTGTGCGTGGGGGTTGCCCCCTGTCGGCGGACGACTGCCGCCTGGCGCACCCTCCGGAGCGGGGCCTGCTGGACCCGGCGGACGGGCGCGTCACCGTGTGCATGGACTTCGTGAAGGGCCGCTGCTCGCGCCACAAGTGCCGCTACTTCCACCCGCCGCTCCACCTGCAGGCCAAGGTCAAGGCCCTGCAGCACCAGGCCAACCAGGCGGCCGCCGCCGCCGCCATCGCGGTGAGTGACGGCTCCCGGGGGAGGAGGAGCGAACGGCGGTCGTGATGGGCAGGTGGCAGGGGTGGGCAGAGGCGGGCGGTCGGACGCACGCCAGCAGCAGTGCTTGAGTTGTGTGTGAGCGGTGGTAATTGTGTAGTCGGCGTGAGCGGCGGGTTGGGTGGGCAGCGGCAGTGGTCGGGGCAGCAAGCACGGGAGTAGGGTGAGATGGGCAGCCGCCGGGTACACGTTGGCCTCGGGCAGAGATTGTCAATGCTGGCAGGGGCGGCGGGCAGTGGGGCGTGGGTGTGCACGCACCGGCGATAGGAAGTGTGGGTGAGGTGCAGACAGCAGATGTGGACGATAGGGGCTGGTGAGCAGCGGCAACGTGCAGCAGGGAGGTGTGGGGAATCAAAAGTAAGTGAGCAGCAGCAGGCCTGGTTGGGCGAGCAGTAGCCCTGAGCATCGGGGGCACAAGCGGGAGAACAGCGCAGACGAGGCCAGGAAGAATAAGCAGGTGGCTAGCGAGGACATGCAGGGAGAAGGGGCAGGTGGACATGCAGCTAGACACAGGCAACAGGAGCAAGGTGGAGGATGCTAGTGGGCAGTTGGCTATCGGCATTGGGCACACGTGGGCAGCAGCTATGGGCAGCGGGTGGGCAGCAACAGCTGGGCATCAGGTGCAAATTGGCAGAGGCAGATGAGGGCAGAGGGAATTGGAATTGAGCCGTGCAGGGGCACAGGGAATCGGTCGCAAACACGGCACGGACAGTCACCGTGTGCAGAGGCTGAGCTCCACAGTGGAGCTGTGTAGAACGTTGGGGCAAGTGGCTGTCGGTGAGAATTTATGAGGTGTCACCAGTGTACGCACATTGTACGCACGCACACGAATACAGACACGCGGTGTTACACACGCATTCGCATGTATGCTCACACAGATAAGTGCCTCAATAGGTCCACACACACCTTTGTATATGTATACTTACGCACGCTCAGTCATACACATTTATACCTACATGAATGTGTACACTTACACGCGCGTCCGTATAGCAATATTACGCAAGTTTGTACACAGACCGTGCTTGACATATGCATATACACACACATACATTGCACATATATATTCATATGAAAACACATTCTTATCTTATATAAAAAAAAAAAGGTCCCCGTTATGGCCAACGTAGACTGTTAGCGAGGGGGTGGTGTGACCAGGACCCATGGCCAGCCACAGTTTCCCCTTACAGAAGTGATGTTTACACACCATGACAGATGCTCACTTAAGGCCGAGTTGACCTAGGGGAGGCCCATTACTAGGTCAAGATATATATGTCAGCCAGAGTCAGAAATCGAAATCGGGGTACGAGGTTTGTAGCGTACTGCACCACAGACGTTCCGAGCGCATTTAGAATTTATGATGCACACAAATTCATACCACTCAAGACACGTTTAAATTAATATTATATCCATAATAGAGGTTTTTGGGTTATATATATTACCTCTGTAATGATATTGTCCTCACATAAACGCATACATTTCAGCAGACATTTCCACAAATGTTTACATATATGCTCAATCATGGTGCCATGAAAAGCAGCATTTCACACATGCATGTACACTTGTGCACCCCTATATATACACCCATGCACATATGTACAAAGGCACACTTGAACACAAACATGCACGTGCACAGACAGGCATGCTTACGGGCACAGTTCACACACGCATACGCATCCACTGGCATACATACGCACATTTTGAATAAGACAGATCCCCCCTATAGACTTTAACAGTCTGTTGAGGCAAGTGCTGTTAGCAAACACGTAATGAAGGCCGGCACGGCACACGAGGGGGTGGGTGGCCAACACCACGCCCAGCCGCCTTTGTCTCCCTAGTGGCAACGTTTACACGCTGCACCAGGTACTCATTTTGAGGCTGAGCCGACCTAGGGGAGGCCCACGACCGGTTCAGATAATCGTCACTGGTGTTGGCCTTGAGCGGGAATCGAACTAGTGTCTCTGGGTTCGTAGTGCAGCGCGCTAGCCGCTAGCCGCTGCACTACCACTCCCCACACACATTCACATGCATGGATGCACGCACAGACAGTTTACATGGGCAACAACAACAACCGTCGTGGTGACGTCACATAGGCAAAGACACACATACACACACAGTTCATACACGCGCCTATGTTCACACTCGTATGCACACACACACACCTGTGCATGCATCTTGGTGCACTCGCACACAACACGCGCACACACGCACATCCATGCTCGCACGCACACGCGCGCACGCTCACACGCGCGCACATGCACACCCACACACGTGCTGTCTCGCGTGCATTAACGATAACGAGCTTTCTGGTAATGAGCGCGTTCATGTCGAGGGCATCCATAGCCAGCGTCTCCCTCGCCTAGAACACGGCCATCATGGCGGGTAGGCGGATGGGCAGGCGGGTGGGTGTGGGTGTGTTTGCAGAGGTAATTGGGTAGGTGGGTGAATGAGTGAGCGGATTGGTGAGTGGGTGGTTGAAATGGTGGGTAGGTCAGTGAATGGATGACTGCGTGGGCGAATAGAAGGGTGGGTGGGTAGGTGAGTGAGTAGGTTGGTGAATTAGTGGGCAGATAGGGGAGTTAGTTGTTGAGAGGATGTGTTGGTCAGTGAATGGATGAGTTGGTGGGTGGGTGGGTGGGGCAATGCTTGAGATGGTTGGTGAATAGGTGGGTAGGTGAGTGAGTAAATGGTTGAGTGGATTAGTGCGTAGATGAATGAGTGTGTGAGTGGTGGGTGGGTGAGTCGGTGTGTGGGTGCTCGGGTAGATATAGGAGTGTAAATTGGTAACTCAGTGTGTGAATGTATCCTTGTGTAGATGGATGAATGGGTCAGTTGGGTGAGTTGGTGGATGGATGGCGAGGCAGGCGAGTGGGGGTAGATATGCCTACCAAATGGGTCTTTACATCCTAATTATATGAAATGAATCCCAGCACGAAAATCCCACGCAACCATTGGCATTAATCTGCACAACGCTGCCTCACTACCTTTGCCTCCCGCCCCTCGTAAAATGTAATTAGAATTCCAAGTAATTAATCCCAAACCGTCAACAATTACCGTGAACAATTCCAGCGTCAATTACATCTCCCCACGGCTAATGCCTCTTAACGGCTCAAACTGCCGCTGCATTGGCTCCACTCGCGGGGGTGATCGTGGGCTCTCTCCGCTTATGCCGAGCAACCGCCGCGATCAGCTTCCTCGCGTCTCTCTCCGTCACGGGAAAAGGTTGCCAACTAGACGCGATTGTAATGCTCGCATGGGATGGGTTCTTGTGATTTGCGGCATTCGAACCACGCGGCAGCGAGAGAGAGAGGGATCGACGCCTCGCGGCCGAATTAACGCGGAATTTTTTGATCGACAAGTCCGGTCGAAGCGCCTCTCTGTTCTCCTCCATCGCAAAACGTGACGACGCCACCCCAGGCCGGAGGGCCCCTCGACATGAACGTGCGCTTACACGACTTAAAAAAAAAAAAGCGTTTTGTCCGTTTTTTTTGTAACAATTTTTTTTGGTAACGTTTCCCCCTCCCCCTCTTCCGCTCCCCTCCCCTTTTTTGTTTCCTCTTTCTCTCCTACCCATAATGCACCCGGCTTGACCTTTCACCTTTGCGACAATAACCGCCTGCCGCTGCCACCAACAACAAAAACCAAACCCCTGCCGCCCTCCCTGGCCGCGCCGCGCCCCCATTGGCTGGGCCGTGGTCACGTGACGTGTTGCTGCCTCTGCTACTACCTCCGCCCGCCGCCATCGCTGCCACCACCTTCGCCTTGCGCCGCCGCTGTGATGGTGGCGATGATGACGATGGTGGTGGTGATGGTGCTGATGATGATGATGGTGGCGCTACTGCTGATGATGATGATGACGATGCTGCCCTCGTCTCCACGGCTGCTGCTGCTACTGCTACCGCTGCTGTCAACGCCTGCTGCCATGATAACGCCGTGTGTCTGCCTCTTGCCCCTACCCCAACTTCTGACCCCTACATCCTGACCCCCTATACCTGAACCTACGCCCTGACCTCCTGCACCTGAATACCCGATCACTATATCCAACCATAAAACTCTGTCTTGCTTACCCACTCACTCGTCCACTCTTTCACCCTCCCAACCAACACATCACCCACTCACTCGTCATCTCACGCTTCACCCCGCCCATTTTCTCGCTCGCTCATCCCCTCCCCCGCTATCTCACCCACTTCCTCACCCACTTCCTCACCCATCACTGCCCTACCCATTCCTTCACCCTTTCACCCCCAATCCTTTTTCCTCACCTGCTCACCCCCATCACCCCTAACCTACACCTTCCCACCTCCGACACAACACAACACTGTTGCTAACTTTGTCAAATCTGCACGTGGGGTCCCTGTTGATTTGTTTTTGCACTGCATGTGTCTCCCATCTGCGCGCGCGTGTGTGTGTGTATAACCATCGCTGTTACGTAAACACATTGTCATGTGTGTGTGCCTGCATGTGTCTGTGTTTGACTCACCCATGCTACCCTCTTTCCTGTGTCTGCCGCTGTCACAACCACATGCTGTGCTCAAATCGCACGCGCACGCTCACGCTCACATACTCGCATTGACACGTACTGCTATTAATGATAATCACATGATCGCACACACGCACTCACGCACTCACACACTCAAAACGACACACGTGCTGTTAATGACAATCACATGGTCACACACACACACACATTAACCGCACACTCCACACACTCACCACACACCGTCTGATCCACGCACTCACGCTCATACACTCTCACCACACACACGCTGTTACCACACACTCCATACACTCACCACACACACCATCTGATCCACACACTCACACGCTCATACTCACCATACACGCCCTGTCACCACACACTCCATACATTCACCCCATACACTCACCACAAACACCATCGAACCCATGCACTCACACACTCGTACACACTCGCACACACACTTTCACCACACACTCCCACATCCCTCATGGTCTCGCCACACGTGCACACACACTCCTACACTGTCACCACACATTCTCCATATTCACTCGCACATCTCTCTCACCGCACTCACTCACGCTCGCCACACGCTCGCCGTACGCGCTAACCCTCACTTCACACACGCACACACACATACTCACCTCTCACCCCCCGTCACACCGATGGCCATAATATTTTTACGCAAAAGGCTCCAACAGCAGTGAAATCGCTGAAGAGACCATACAACGCGGCCTTTGACTTGGTACCCACACCCCCCCTTCCCACGCATGCCACGTTTGTACCCCAGTGCCCCCCCACCCCCTCCCCCCCCCCACCAAAAGTTAAACAAGGAAGAAAAATCACACGTACGCATGGATTCTGTAACACATCCAATGTGCATTTGTCTTCGGAAATGTTTAATTTATCAGTACGGAAGCCGGCGCTGTCGGGGCAAACACGGTTTGCTTCTTTGGAAATTGTCCAAATTTCTTTGCCTCGGATTGCCTTGGGCGGCAACACTTTGATGAATGAGGAAGCGTCGTTTTAAATTGGATTTATTCGCTCATAGCAACACATCTTTACACTGCACACACTGGGGTTGGTTGCATTGGAGCTTCTCCGCAAGCGTTATTGTGCTCACCCCCCCTCCCCCTGTTTACTGCTCCCAGCCTCTGCCGAATAGCGTTGTAGAACCTCCGTTAAGAGAACGAGACCAGCACGCGAATAGTTGTTAATTTTATATATATTTTAAGTCATATCTTTGCAAATTTAGACCAAAAAAAAACTAATTGTTTCACTAAATCTTGACTTAAAGTTTTCGTGACTGTAGGAATTCATATTCTTGGGTCTTTCGGTAAAGTCACGTAGATAGATTCAAATAAAATAACAACAAAAAACTACGACGTTTAGATCGCAACACAAGCGGTCGTCTTCAGGAACAAAGGCGACCGCTTGTGTTCCGATCGACACTGTCGTAGTTTTTGTTTGTTATTTTTTGTTATTTTCTTTGAACCTATCTACGTGACTTGAACGAAAGACCCAAGAATGTTTAAACTTAGTAATTGGCCCAACTTCCCAAAGCAAGGGACGCTCCTGAGAAAGTATAGAAACTCAAGGCAATGCTTCCCTCGGACAAATCGATCGCGCCGTTACTGTCCAAAACCTTGATATGCGGTCGCACAGCGTGCAACAGGTGGCTCTAGGCGTGCACTAGGATGGGCGAGGTTGAGGCTGCTGTAACCCCCCCCCTGCCCCCATCCATCTTGAATCAAACTACGAAGGGACGACGGGGAGACGATCGGAATAACCGTGCCGCCCTAAGGCCATGAAATGGACAGGCGTCCGTTGACGTCTCCTGGGCAAACCCCACCTGGTGCAGCCAGGAGACTGACTAGCACCTCCCCTCCATCCCACCATCCTTGAGGGGTTATCTCCGGAGACGACGGGCAATCACCGCGGCCGACCACGTGGAATGTCCAGAACGCTCAGTGGAAGTTGCCCATTTTGTCGGGAGCTTCGACCGGTACCGCCGCCTGCCACTTGAGCGGGAACGGTTCTGGCTCCGGTGACCACGAGGAGGCGGGGGGGGAGGCAGCCCTCTCCTCGGCACGAGCGTAACGTGGAACCAGCAGGGAAGTGGCTCCTTCTCAACAAGGGAATGAAAAGACCGTGGGGGCGTGGCAGTGAGGTGTGGGAAGCCACTGGTCCCAGGCTATTGTGGGCTCATCTCCCCCATCAACTTGAGGATGAGTACGATGCCTAATATCACCTCCTGCCCCAGGTGTTGGCTATAGTGGCCCTAATGGGGCCTCCAAATGAGGAATTTGGAGCCTGTTGGACACGCAATGACAGGTAACAGTGGAGCCAAGATCGGCCTCTGTAAAACAATATTCATGAAGGACGCTACTGGGCAGTTGGAGGCAGTTGCCCTCCAACAACAACGGAGATTGGAGGAAGCGACCAAAACGAGCGGCGTGCCGGGCGGCTAGAAACGCAGCGAGTTGGCACAGTGGGGAGCACAGGCAATGGATCGTCAACCCATGGCACCTGGGTCTATCCAGTGACCTGCCAGCGAGCCTTCGACACTTCAAGTGGCCTTAAAGTGCACATAGCCGACCACAAGCGCAGTGTTGACATCACCGCCACTTAGTGGCGGATGGTGGATGTTGTGTTTAGTGTGTGTGTACGTGTGGGGAGCGGTGGCGTAGCGGTTCGCGCACTGCGCTACGAACCCGGCGACCAGAGTTGGATTCCCGCTCACAGCCAACACCAGTGACGAATATTTGACCTCCCCTAGGTTGACTCGGCCTCAAATGAGTACCTTGTGCAGAGTGTAAATGTCGCCACTGGGGAGACAGGTGGCCGGGCGTGGTGCTGGCCACCCACCCCCTCGTGTGCCATGCCATCTTTCAAAGGTGCTCACTAACAGCACTTGGCCCAACAGTCTGTTAAGGCTATATGGGGGATCTTTGTCTTTGTTAATACATGGGGAGCGGTACTGTAGTGGTTATCGCATCACTCTATGAACCCGCTGACCCGTGTTCGATCCCCATTTGAGGCCAACAGTGACATATTTGAACTGGTCCTGGGCCTCCCCTATGTAGACTCAACCTTAAAGGAGTACCTGGTGCAGTGTGGAAGCATCAGGACTGTACTGGGGAAACAAAGGCTGGCCACCCACCCCCTCATGTGTTGTCGGCCTTAATCGGTGTAATATAACAGCACTTGCCGGAACAAGTTTAAAGCTATACGGGGGATTTTTCTGTGTTTAGCTGGCTGCCTTCCTGTGTCTGTATTCGTACCTGCATGTCTTGTGTCTGTGTCTACTTGTGCATCTGTATATGTGTACATATTTGTGTCTGCATGTCTGCATGAGTGTGTGACTGTATGCTTCTTTTTTTGTCTGCATGTACACCTGCTGTGTGTCTGCATCTGACCACATCCGTGTGCCTATGTGTGCGCATGTGTCTGCATATCCTGGCCTTGCGTGTATCTGTGTGCACCCGTGTATACATCCATGCAAATGCCTGTGTCTGTGCATGTGTATGTCTGTGTCTGCATGTGTCCTTTTGTATGCATCCCTACATGTGTCCGTGTGTTCATGCGTGTGTATGCCGACCTGTCTCCATGTGTTTCCGTGTGTATGTATGTCTCCACGCGTGCGTGTCCATGTTTGCCCATGTGTGGCTGTATTTCCATGTGTGTGCGTCTGCACGCATGTCACTATGTCCTTGCGTGTCTATATGTGTGTCTTCGTGTGTGTATTTGTCTTCACGTGTCTACGTGTCTCCTCCTGTGTCTCCATGTGCGTGCACGTGTCTATATGTACATCCATGTCTTCATTTCCATGCGTGCGTGCGCACGCTTGTGTCCGCGTGTCTCCACTCGTCCACGTGTGTCACCGTGCCTCCCCGTGTCTCCATGTGTCCGCGTGTTTCCCCGTGTCCCTCAGTCCATGCCCACAGGGGTCATGACCCCATTACCAAAGCGGGCGGCCATGGACAAGCCCAACGGCATGCTGGGAGCGACGTTCAACCACGCGCTCATGGCGTACCAGTCGGGGCTGTCCGGCCTCCACATGGCCGCGCAGCCTTACATGGCTCCAGGTGGGAAGCACAGCGGGCGGGCGGGAGGGAGCGTGTGTGAGTGAGTGTACGGGCAAAATTGAGCTTTCCGGAATGAATGTTGTAATGTGGGTGGATAGGTTTGACAGCGGAGGTTTCCGAATCAGTCGGGGCGGCATTATCTTTTCATCGGCTGCACGATGCTGTGTGGAGGCTACCTGGTGGTCAGTCGCTCCGCACGAAGCTTCGGGTCTTCTCGGCCACAGTCATGCCCTCCCTTCTCTATGCTTGTGGAACATCTGCGCCGGTTAGAAACATTTCAGGCTGGCATGCCTACGATCCATCCTGGGTTTAATCAGGCTGGATTGTGTGAGCAGCTCCCAAATCCTTGAAAGATCTGGACACATTTTTATCAGCTGCTCTGGCAGGCAAGGCTGCGTTGGCTGGGTCATGTAGCCCGCATGCCCAGCCACCGCATGCCCAAGCAGCTTCTGTTTTGCCACATCGAGGGGGCTAAATGGGCACGACATGCGCTGGAAAAGAGATGGACTGATGCGGTACGAGAGGATGTGAAGCTGAGTGGACTTGCCAACGACTGGTACCAGCAGTGTCAAGATTGACCTCTGGAGGAGGCTCGTGAAGGACACTACTGGGCAGTTGAAGGCAGTCGCCCTCCAGCAACAATGTAGGGCAGAGGAGCGACGCTCACAACAATGAGCGGAGCGCCGGGCGGTATCAAGTTGGCACAGTAGGGAGTACAGCTGGTGTATTTACCAGTCATCTCGGTCAACCAACCCATGGCACCTTGGTCTGTCCCGAGACCTGTCGGCGAGCCTTCGACACTTGACGTGGCCTCAAAGTGCACCTGGCCTGGCACAGGCTCTGTGGTGGCATCACCGTCACTTAGTGGCAAATGGTGGGTATTGGTGGGCTTGTGTGCGAGTGTTTGCGCAGTGGGGTGCGGTAGGGTAGCAGTGAGTCAATTCCTGCTCACGACCAACACAAGTGACGATGATCTGAACCTCGGCCTCCCCTAGGTTGACTCGGCCTCAAATAAGTACCTAGTGCGGTGTGTAAACATCACCACTAGGGAGACAAAGGCGGCAGGGCGTGGTGCTGTCCACCCACCCCTTCGTGTGCTGTACCGGCCTTAATAGTCGCTCACAAACAACACTTGCCCCAACTGTGGGGGGGGGTCTTTTTATGTGCGTGTGTATTTGCATGTGTGTGCGTGCATGTGTGTGCGTGCATGTGTGTGTGTATGTGTGTGCATATGTGTGTATGTGTGTGCATGTGTGTGCGTGCACGTGTGTGCGTGCACGTGTGTGTATGTGTGTGCGTGTGTGTGCGTGTATGTGTGTGTGCATGTGTGTGCGTGTGTGTGCATGTGTGTGCATGTGTGTGTGTGCTTGTTGAACGAGGGATGGCGTCGTCGTGCGTGTCGGGACACGAGCCCCGTGTGGGAGACAGCGTCGTGGACGCTCACCCCTCTCCCATGTTGTCCCCCCCCCCCCCCCCCCCCGCTTACTGTCGCACGGCATGCTGGGAGCAGGTTCCATGTTTTGCATGGCAGCACCCACAGCCACGTTCGGTGAGTAGACGCACGCACATCACAACAACAACCACGATGGCAATTGCTTAAGAACCATAATAACAACCACTATTAACTTAGCAGCAGCAACCTATGAACCACATCGTTCACAAACAAAACACGACACAACTCGCTCGTATCAACACCCACAGTGATGATCACAGCGTTGATGATGATGATGACTGTCACCGGTATGTAACGATGACTTGGTGGTGATGATGATGACGATGACAATCTAAAGAATTGATGATTGACAACGATGTTGATTATCATGATGGAATTGATAACAATCATGGTGACCGTTACAAAGGTGAGGATGAGTAATTTAAGACGTGGCCGTGGTGGCTATAACGGTGATTAACACGGTAAATGACGATTACATTACTGGTTGCGACGGTGACGATGGGCGTCACTGCAATGAAGACGATGATGATGTCAACCGTGACGATGGCAATGTCGATGATGTTGGCCATGATGTTGTGGACTTCACTTTCTCCTCTCTCCCTGTCCATGCTGGCAGTTGTAACATATGTTCCGTGATGGGGATAACATTGATGATGATGATGATGTTGACTGATATTGGTGATGACTGAGGATGTGGACTCTGTTGACGTGCACGATGTTGATGATGTTGGTGATGACGAGCGAGATGGTAACTACCTTGCCTGGCATACAGGACATTGTGGGTTCGATCCCGACCCTGACTCCTGCTGTATATTTTAAGTTTGCGTGTTCTCCCCATGGTGGGAGCGTGGATTTTACCCCGGGTCCTCTGGTTTTTCGCTCCACATTTACAATCAACACGCGTTTAGAGCATTTGGCTGCCTCGATACATTTCCACATGATGATGAGCCACTTCGTTGAGCTATCATTTGCGGCCAGGTCGCATGTCTGAAAAATAACTATATATAGCTTAGTCGTCCTTACCTGGTAAACATTTTAAAATATTGTTTAAGAGGTGATAGGTTGACTCGCCTTGTCCTCCCCACTCTCCCCGTGTCTCCGCATGTGCCTGCAGCGCCCATCATGTACCACCACAACCACCACCACCACCACGCGGCAGCCGCAGCCGCTGCGGCCGCCGCCGTTGCCTCCGCAGGGTCGGGACCGCCAAACCCCTTGGCCAATCAGGTGAGAGCTGGCGGAGGCGTTTGATTGGCTTGGACGACGCGAGCGCCGTGCCCGTCGGGGTTCAGAGGTTAGGCGGGATTGGAACGTGAACCGGGTTAAAGTCTAACCCCGGTGCACGAGTGCGTCTGGATCATCGGCCCCGTGTCTCCCCGTGTCTCCTCTTGTCTCCCTGCGTCTCTTCTCAGGTCTTGTCATGCTGTCCCGCGTGTCTCTGTCTCTCGTGTCTCCCCGTGTCTCCTCGTGACCCTGCGTATCGTTCTAACTCCATGTGTCTCGTGTCTCCCCCACAACTCACCGTGTCTCCTCCGTGTCTCCCTCCGTCTCCCCCGTAACTCCCCCGTGTCTCCCCACAGTTGCAACATGGAGGCCTCACCGCCCTGGACCCTGAAGATGAGCGTTACCATGTAAACAGCACACGGACACACTTGTACGTGTTCACATACATATAAAGACAAACAAAGATCCTCCGTATACCCTGAACAGACTGTTGGGGCAAGTGCTGTTCGCGAGCATCTATGAAGGCCTGGCACGGCACACGAGGGGGTGGGTAGCCAGCACCATGCCCAGTGGCCGCCTATGTCTCCCCAGTCGCTTCAAAGTACCTAATGCAGTGTGTATAACACATTGCCATGAGGGAGACAAAGGCGGCCGGGCGTGGTGCTGTCCTTCATAGGTGCTCGATAACGGTACTTGCCCCAACAGTCTGTGAAGGCTATACGGGGGGTCTTTGTCACAAACACACTCTCAGACAGCCACGCACACACGCACACACGTACACACGTACACACGTACACACATACACACGTACACACATATACACATATACACACACATGTGTTGTGCTCATCTCATCCTCCATCTCCATGTCCCCTCCCTGCCTGTCTCCTGTCTCCCTCGTGTTTCTGTCTACCCCTGTATCTTGCCTCCCCCGTGTCTCCCCTTCTGCTCCCCCACCCCCCACCCCCCACCGTGTCTCTCCAGGTTCTGCTGAAGTGACTTCCCACGCAGCCAAATCCCACGGGGGGGACCCAGTCCTCGACCTCACCAAAACCCGAGTCGTCTTTCGGCCAAAAAAAAGAAAAGTTACGATTACATGAAATGGTGCGAGCGAGAGAGCGAGGGAGTGCGATGACGTGGAGGGGAGCGATCGCGCGGAGTGTGGGCGTCAAACGCAGCTCGCGCGCCGCCGCCGCCTCTCGCGTTTAACCGCCGGAAAGAAGAGAGAGAAAAATTATACGGAGAAGAGAATATTTATGACGATTAGAGGAGAGCACTTTTTAAAAAAGAAAAAAGTAATATTAATAAATATCGATTATCCCCATCCTCCCCATCCCATCCCCCCATATATTATTTTGCCCCACAGCGCAAATTTAGTAAAAACACACAAAGCCGCGAGTCACTAAATTAAGTTACGTTGGAACGAATCCGCTTAGTGCCGCGGCCATGTATCCTCTTCGAATAGCAAGACTTTTTTTTTTCAGTAATATAAATATCCGCGTAGTCTTTTTAAGTTTCACCGCAAGTTTTTTTTTCGGGGGAAAGACGCAACCGACGGATCGAATCGGCGGCGATCGTGCGGACGAGACGCTCGCCGCTCGCCCCCCACCCTTCACGTCGATTTCAACGCAAACCACCGCCTTTGTCAATCCGCCCTGTGTTTGATCATAATTCATCACGCTGATCGGCGCGTGGGCTGGGTTGGTGAAGGTGGTGGTTGAGGGCGGGTGGGCGGGCGGGGAGCGGTGGTAATGGAGGGTGGGGAGGACCGGTGGCCAAGTATTGAACTCCGGTTGCTGGGTTCGTGTGGCTAGCCCCTTGCGACTCGCCGCTTGCTGACGGCAGAGTGAATCGGAGGTTTGGAGGTCGCCATTCGTAACGCGCGCAGCCCCCGTGTCCATCCACTGCTGGATGAGAGACCCCACACCACCGTGCCGTGCGGGTCGCGGTTGTTACGTGACCATGCTTCATGCTGTGCCAGTGCGGGTGGGTGAAGGTTCACAGCGTAGACTTACGTGGAGCACACAAAGTACAGGACGAGAGTGGATTTTGCTGCACTGCCCAATGGTGCCCACGCCCCCCCACACTTCACTTTCAAGAGCCGGCGAGATCGGGTGCATTGTGGGTGATTGGGCCACGGTCACGTGACCGGATTAATCGGAAGCTGTTTGTGATGCGGAGGCAACAGCTGAGAGATGGGCGCTTCTTACTTTTCATGGCAAAACAGCCGCCGACCGACAGAATCAATATTTAGACGGGAGGAGGAGGAATCCGATGAGCTGTGAAGCTCTTTTATCACCAAATGTCCAGTATGGGCAGGGTCAGCAGGTTACACCAACAAACAATACAAACACAAATGATAGTTCAAAGTAGAGAATGCTAAGCAAGTCACCAAATATAAATAGACTGAAACTAAGTTTTTTTTTTTACCTCGTTCAGCCCACTAATTGTATCAGTCCGGCAGGGCAGCCGGTCGAATCTACCGCCCCAGTAGTTCCCGTCCGTTGCTGCCCTGGCCATTTTCAAACCCCCTGGCACGCTGCCGCCTGACCTCCATTAACCTCCGTTGACCTCCATTGACCTCCGTTGACTCCGGCAGCCGCCACCCGCAGCACGAGGTGTCCACCCAGTGACGGAGCCGGAGGACTGGCTCCCATAATGCATTGTCGTTCATTATACAGTTGTAGGACCTGCTCCCGTAATGCACAGCCGTCAACTAAACAGTTGTCAAAATGAATCGCTCTTAACGACGTATGACCGGCTACCATAATGCATCGCTCTTAACGACGTAGTTGTATGACCAGCTCCCATAACGCATTTCTCTTAACGATGTTAATGGCAGGCTCCCATAATGCATTGCTCGTAACAACATAGTTGTATGGCCAGCTCCCATAATTCATTGCTCTTAACGATGTAGTTGTATGGCAGGCTCCCATAATGCATTGCTCATAACAACATAGTTGTATGACCAGCTCCCATAATTCATTGCTCTTAACGATGTAGTTGTATGGCAGGCTCCCATAATGCATTGCTCATAACATAGTTGTATGACCAGCTCCCATAATGCATTGCTCTTAACGAAGTAGTTGTATGACCAGCTCCCATAATACATTGCTCTTAACGAAGTAGTTGTATGACCAGCTCCCATAATACATTGCTCATAACATAGTTGTATGACCAGCTCCCATAATGCATTGCTCTTAACGAAGTAGTTGTATGACCAGCTCCCATAATGCATTGCTCATAACATAGTTGTATGACCAGCTCCCATAATGCATTGCTCTTAACGAAGTAGTTGTATGACCAGCTCCCATAATACATTGCTCTTAACGACGTAGTTGTATGACAGGTTCCCATATTGCACTGCTCTTAACGACGTAGGCGTTTGACCGACTCCCATAATTAGTTTCCCTCCTCCACTAGAGGGAGCTCTAGGGAGAACCTCTCTAAGAGGGTCTTTGACAATGACCCCCACACTTCGCCCCCCATCACATGCGACCTGCCGATTGACCTTCCTGTTGCAACTCGGTGCCGCGGGAGTGTCGAGATGTAGCGGGGGCCCACGCCCGCTTACCCCCGGAGTTTCCCGGTAGGGAACTTTCTAAACGTTTTTTATTTTTTCTCGTCTCTTATGCATCGCGCTGGAAACACGGCACGGATACCAGTCCGCTGGATTTTTTTTTTGCGGAGGTTGCGTCTTCCCCCCCCCACCCCCCCCCCCCCCTAAAAAGCGCGGCGAGACGCGAGAAATACAATATTAAGGATAAGGATTTTGTCCGTCTGGTTGGTCGTGACCGCGCGTGTATTTAATGTGACGGGGCCGCCACCGCTGTTTGTTCTAAAGACGGCGTTTCACACCGTAGGCAAACTCAGTTCGTGGGTCGCGAGTCGCCGCGCTTTACTGGGTCTCTCCCCCGGTCGCTCCGCAGGTTTGAGTCGTTACGCGCTGCCGCACGCACCCGATTGGATAAACAAGTCCCGTTGCGATGTTAGAGAACGTCCGTTTTAAAAAATGGAGATAATTTGTTCGTGTGTGTGTGTGCCGTGTAACGTGTGTGGGGGAACGGTAGCGTAGCGGTTGGGGGCCCGAGTTCCATTCTGGCTGACGGTCAACATCGGATTGCGAATATCTGAACGGGTCCTGCGCTTCGCCCGAGGTCGATTCGGCTTAAACATCAGCGCTGCGGGAGACGGGCGGCCGGCCGTGGGTCTGGCCGCAGCAATCCCCTCTTGTGTGCCTTGCCGGCCTTCATAGGCGCTCGCCTAACAGTACACGTACTTGCCCCAAACAGTCGTGTTTGTCAATGTTTTGGGTTTACTCTCCAACACACCGGCGTGCTGAGAAGCAGTCATTGGCACCTTTTGTTTACGTGACAAACCTTGACTAATTGGCTGGGGTCGGGTGGTGGCGGGTTAAACGACACATTTACGCGACCTTGTTTAAAGCCAATACAGGAGTATGGGGGTGGCCTTTGTCCCACGTGACATCGTCCCGATTAAAATGTTTAGGATGTGTCAACATCGGCACTGGATCCAGGTCTCGTGTACAGTGCACGCGTATCCCGTTTTAATGTAGAGAGAGAGGGGGTGGGCGATCCAAATTGGGATGGGTCACCAATCGACGGCGTACCCCGGGACCCAGGGAGCCAGCGTGCTGCAGCGTGGAACGGGGGTCGGGGGGGGGGGGTGGTGCTCCTCTCTCTGCGCTTCAAACCGCGGGAGCCGCCCGGTCTCGACGCACCAGAGACGGGACGGACGGGGAAACCCCCCGAACCCTGGCCAGGTAGAGACGCTAAACGCGGCAACGATGGAAACCATTCGTCCATCACTGCAACAGTTTGTTATCTCCTGTTGCTTGCGGTGGTGGTGGCGGGCGGCGGCAGTGGTGATAGTTGGTGCTGATGGTGATCGTGTTCGTGTCGACCTCGTGGTGGCCGTGTCGGTCTCGGGCACCTGAAGCAGCACCCCTGATGTCCACCGGTCGCCACGGCCCCCCCCCCCCCGCCAACCTCCCACTGCTGCCCACCTTCGCCCGGCGTGTAACGACGAAGCGCGCGGAGGCTCTCAATCGACTTTTACCGCTCCGCCGTTAACGTCGGCGATTCTTGTGCGTAATCGCGGCTGCGAGGAACCGGTTACAATTCGTGTGTTATACATATTGGGGGGGCTGGGGGCGGGTCGCGTGACTACCTGCCGCTACCGGTAGGCGCTTACATTCACGACGGTGCGACGTTAAAACGCAATCGAGTCGCGGGTTCCCCAAATTGCAGCAATCCGTGGAACCCCTCCCCCCCACCACCCCGAGGGTCTGTGGGATCATCATCACGTGTGCCTCGTGGTTGACGTCTCGGGAAGAACCCCGCAGGGGCGGTCTTGGGCCAGACCTTCTCAGCGCCAGGGCCCAGGTGAAGGGCCGCGCGTCGTATTGTCACGAGCAGCTGAAGGATCGCGACGCGTAGAAAGGGCGGCGTGTCTTTTATAGAGGGTCGCGACGACCGGGCATGAGAATGGGCCGGGCAGGTGCTGCTGGAGTTGAGGATGGGTGCTCGCCTTGACAGTGGGGTCACGGCCAGGGCGATTCTTAGTGGCTGTCAGCCCTCGCCGGGCGCTGAGGCCAGTCCCAACACCGAGGCTACGCTCCCAAGCACTCAAACCAAACTCCACACCGAACTAAACCAGTTTAACCATTAACATCGCTCTAGACCTGTTGCTAGCCCTGACTCTATCCCGAGCCGAGCCCAATACGAGGCTACATCAGGGTCAGGATCACGGCTATAGCGCCCTAACCCCTTCAGCCTAAAATCCAACATGACTTCAAACTGGTTTAAAATTACGCGTCTTAATCCAAGCCCATACACAACATCCAGCCGAACACCAAGATAGGCCAGTTTAACCGTGGTTATTGTAGTCGGGAGCTTAACACCCAGTCCAATACAAATGTTAAGCCAGCTTAGGGTCATGGCGTTAGCCCCCAGAGAGGCCTGCACTAAACGCCACCAGCTCAACACGGTGATGCGGAACCGGTTCAGGGTCGTGGCTTGAGCCCTGATCCTGACCCCAACACGGAGCCGCACAGACCCTTGTCAAACAAAACACTCACGGATTCGATGTTTTTGTTGTTGCTTTAACACTTTAACATTGTTTTGTTACAGTATATGAACATTTTAAAGAGAGAGAGAACATGTTTTAAAAATGATTTAAGAAATGTAAAAAAAAAACATACTTCTATAAGTAAGGTATATAGATAAGTCTAAAGGTTTAGTGTCAAATTTTTACGATATTGTAACGTAACGATAAAGTTCTAAACATTTTTGAACTTAGCCATGTTTTGTAAACACGACGGAGATCTTTTGTACGAGTGTTAATAGTTACCAACTTTAATTTTACTTTATAGTATTTCATTAATTTCTGTCATTTTTGATCGTTATTCTCGTAACAGATTCTAAATATGCGTCGTCGTTTAAGCAACCGTGGGTCGGTTTTTACCTCCCCCCCCCCCCCCCTGTTGGATGGTTGGTAGCGGCCGAATGAATACCGAGTTCCCCCCCCCCCTTCCTCCACTCTCTCGAATGGTTCGGTACACTCCCCCCCCACGCCTCCAGCCCACCACGTGGTGGCGGTTAAACGCAGAGGTTGGAGTCACGTGGGTGCGCGGATAACCGGGTTGTGTGAGAGACAGGAGGAGGAGGTGGTGGTGGTTGTTGGGGGTGGTGGTGGTGGTGGTTTATGGAATGGGTTGGTCTAGTCTCTATGTTTTTCGGGGGTGAGATGTTGAGAGTCGCACTTAACATTAAAACGAAATGAACTAAAGTTCTTTTAAGAAATGCAAAACTTAAAATCGATTTATATATTTTTGTTGTTGTTGTGGAAGAAAGGGGACGAGCTTTTGATTTTAAGGGGGTGGGGGGGGGGGGGCGTTTTGCCAATACTACGCGATTAAAAACCGGGCCGCTATTGCTGCCAACCTCCGTTTTTTTTTGTTAACGAGAAGCGGAGAACCGATTATAAAGGTCAAGTCGGCAATTTACAGGAGAAATTCACTCGGGCGCAACTCACCCGCCGCCGTGAGCCGGTGTCCAAACCCTCCACGCGGCAGAGCAGAGAAGGGAGAGGAGGTCCTTCCTTGTGGGGATAGTCGTTGCGGATAGATGGTGATTGTGGTCGTGTGAGTGCGGATATCGCGGGGGATCGTGGCTACCGCGGAAAGCAGCGAGCGGGGACGACATTCCAAGAAGTCAAAGCGCCGTGTCCCCTTCGTGCTCGGACGCTAGCAACTTCAAGGGCACTGGTGGAAATTCCACGTTTTTATGGCGGGGGAGGTGGTTTTTGTTTTCCGCATAGTGATTGGTTGGTTTGGTTTTTGTGGTTGAGGGGGATAGGTTGGCACTGGGGGTGGGGGGGCCCTGGGTGGACCCCCCCCCCTTCTCTACCTCCCCCCACTCATTGCACTTGTGTACATACAGACCGGGGCGTGTTAACACGAGAGTTGGCATTCACATGAAGTTCATGTGCATGGGGGGGGGAGGGGGGGCGGCTCTTTAACCGTGCCATCTACCACGCTGCGCGGTACGGCTTGTTATTGTGTGTGTGTGTTGAACTTCTTTCGCACCGTACGTGGCCAACCGTACTAATCGGTGGGGGTGGAGGGAGGACAACAACAACAACAAGCAGCCGGTGACATGGCCGGTGGGTAAGCACAGCTCTGATGCACAGGAGTGTGGCGTGAGTGGGGAGTGTGGCGTGAGTAGGGAATGTGTGGTGTGAGTGGGAAGTGTGTGGTGTGAGTGGGGAGTGTGTGGTGTGAGTGGGGAGTGTGGTGTGTGAGTGGGGAGTGTGTGGTGTGAGTAGGGGGTGTGAGTGGGGAGTGTGTGAGTGGGGAGTGTGCGGTGTGAGTGGGGAGTGTGCGGTGTTGAGTGGGGAGGGTGCTTTGTGAGTGGGGAGTGTGAGTGGGGAGTGTGCGGTGTGAGTGGGGAGTGTGCGGTGTGAGTGGGGAGTGTGCGGTGTGAGTGGGGAGTGTGCGGTGTGAGTGGGGAGTGTGCGGTGTGAGTGGGGAGTGTGCGGTGTGAGTGGGGAGTGTGCGGTGTGAGTGGGGAGTGTGCGGTGTGAGTGGGGAGTGTGCGGTGTGAGTGGGGAGTGTGCGGTGTGAGTGGGGAGTGTGCGGTGTGAGTGGGGAGTGTGCGGTGTGAGTGGGGAGTGTGCGGTGTGAGTGGGGAGTGTGCGGTGTGAGTGGGGAGTGTGCGGTGTGAGTGGGGAGTGTGCGGTGTGAGTGGGGAGTGTGCGGTGTGAGTGGGGAGTGTGCGGTGTGAGTGGGGAGTGTGCGGTGTGAGTGGGGAGTGTGCGGTGTGAGTGGGGAGTGTGCGGTGTGAGTGGGGAGTGTGCGGTGTGAGTGGGGAGTGTGCGGTGTGAGTGGGGAGTGTGCGGTGTGAGTGGGAAGTGTGTGGTGTGAGTGGGGAGTGTGTGGTGTGAGTGGGGAGTGTGTGGTGTGAGTGGGGAGTGTGTGGTGTGAGTGGGGAGTGTGTGGTGTGAGTGGGGAGTGTGTGGTGTGAGTGGGGAGTGTGCCCGTGTGAGTGGGGAGTGTGCCCGTGTGAGTGGGGAGTGTGCCCGTGTGAGTGGGGAGTGTGCCCGTGTGAGTGGGGAGTGTGCGGTGTGAGTGGGGAGTGTGCGGTGTGAGTGGGGAGTGTGCGGTGTGAGTGGGGAGTGTGCGGTGTGAGTGGGGAGTGTGCGGTGTGAGTGGGGAGTGTGCGGTGTGAGTGGGGAGTGTGCGGTGTGAGTGGGGAGTGTGCGGTGTGAGTGGGGAGTGTGCGGTGTGAGTGGGAAGTGTGTGGTGTGAGTGGGGAGTGTGCGTTGTGAGTGGGGAGTGTGCGTTGTGAGTGGGGAGTGTGCCCGTGTGAGTGGGGAGTGTGCGGTGTGAGTGGGGAGTGTGCGGTGTGAGTGGGGAGTGTGCGGTGTGAGTGGGGAGTGTGCGGTGTGAGTGGGGAGTGTGCGGTGTGAGTGGGGAGTGTGCGGTGTGAGTGGGAAGTGTGTGGTGTGAGTGGGAAGTGTGTGGTGTGAGTGGGAAGTGTGTGGTGTGAGTGGGAAGTGTGTGGTGTGAGTGGGGAGTGTGCGTTGAGTGGGGAGTGTGCCCGTGTGAGTGGGGAGTGTGCCCGTGTGAGTGGGGAGTGTGCGGTGTGAGTGGGGAGTGTGCGGTGTGAGTGGGGAGTGTGCGGTGTGAGTGGGGAGTGTGCGGTGTGAGTGGGGAGTGTGCGGTGTGAGTGGGGAGTGTGTGGTGTGAGTGGGAAGTGTGTGGTGTGAGTGGGAAGTGTGTGGTGTGAGTGGGGAGTGTGTGGTGTGAGTGGGGAGTGTGCGGTGTGAGTGGGGAGTGTGCGGTGTGAGTGGGGAGTGTGCGGTGTGAGTGGGGAGTGTGCGGTGTGAGTGGGGAGTGTGTGGTGTCGAGTTCACTACAGCGGTCGTCTCTATCCCCCCCCCCCTCACACACACAAGGGCAGATGCTCGTGACGGATTGCGTGGTGCTAATTGTGGACATTCCACATACATATGGCGGGGGAGCCGTAATGTGGAAATTCCACACTCGTATGGCGGGAGCCGGTTTGGATGTTACTTGGGACAGGCACCGATGGGTTTCCTACATTACTGGTAGAGTACTCACTCGTTTTGTATCGGCCGCACAAGGGGATGATTGGCTGACCGGGATTTCAGAAACGCCGCACCTCCGTCAGGAGGGAAGAAAAAACTTTTAAAAAACCACAAATCTGAACCAAAAATTGCCGTGGAACATTTATGACAAAATAATAATGAAGACGTAACATGTTTAATAGAACAAGTATTCGTTACATAGATGTTTTTTCAAAGGGGTAAAACTGATGGTGCTGGAAATTGCATGCAATGATAGTGGTAGCGCAACTCGGAGGATGGCGATGGCAGATGGCAGGAGGGGAGCGCGTTGCGGTTGTGATGGGGTAGAGGGCGGAGGAGGAGTAGACGGCTGTGGGTTGAGTGGAACGCGAGTTCTCGAGGTGAACCGGGACGGGCATTTGAGCTCCAGGTCGGTGGTGATAGATGATGATGAGGATGTAAGGGAATGGTCCCTAAAGATTGGGCCGCTGAATACACATCTTGAACTTCTTTCGCACCGTACTCGGCTCACCGCTCATCGGAGGTCCGGTGGTTGTGGGGGGAGAACAACAATCTAAACACAACAAGAACTTCTAAAGAAATTAGTTTTCAATCGAGAGGATTTAAAAGTGCACGGCTCCAGTGGCTTCCTAATATCGAAAGTGAAAACAACACGCCGACCCGAGAGGGGGTGGAGGTTGTGGATTCGCGTCCCGATCACTTTGCCGGCTCCGTGAATCGAGGTTCTGGGTTCGACTCCGGGTTCGAGCCGCGTTCTCACGAGCGGTGGACTTGGTGGGTCATCAGCCCGGTCACTGTGGGGCGACACCTCACCCCCCACCCCCTCCCTCCCGCCCTCCCTTTGTCAATCCACGAACTGCCTCCTCATGCAACCATACTTCACCACGCTGGTCGGCGCGTGTTGGTGAAGGTCGGCAAGCGATGTCTCCCAACACGCGGCCAGCGCTCGTTTGCAGGATATCGGCAGCGTGTGGGGGAAGAGGGAGAGAGAGCTGTTCATTGAAGTGACTTCAGATGTTGTTACATCATCAGCCAGGGTTGTCCAGCCAGGGTTGTGTGCGCTGCTCACTCCCTCCCCGCATCCATCCACACGTGGGTGGACGCGGCGAGGGATGTCCATTCACCGCGCTGTCTGCAGTCAGGATTTGCGTAATGATTCTCACGCGATTTGTATTATTACAACGCATGGACGGGCCCTCCCTTCCCGCATGCCGTGTTGGTCATGGCGGTGGGAGGGGAGGTGGGGTGTTTGACCATACTTCACCACCGCTGGCTACTGCGAGTTTGAGACAAGGGGGAGAAGCCAAGGGTGCGTCGCTGGCGTTAGCCGTAGGTCGCAAACCCCAACTCGGTCAAGAACCACGCTCGGTATCCATGAACGCATGGCGGTGAAGGGGCTTGCGGTTCTCACGTGCGAAGGTGGCAGTACAGCAAGTAGGTTCACGAGTGGGGGTCTCGGGGGTGTGGACAGTTTGAGACTACGGCGTAGAGAGGGCTGATGGCTGAGTCCACTGTTAATGGTTTTCCGTGTTTACCAATCATCCGGTGTGTATGGCATGTAACGGTACCTGTGTATTTGAATGGGATTTGTGCTGTAATTGGAAGGCGGACGTGCTGTTTGCGAGCGCATATTAAGGCCGGAAGGGCACACGTACGCACGGAGGGAGTGGTGTTGCCAGAACAATAACAGTAACCTGATTTTGAGGCAGGACAGGCCACTTGCCACTGATGTTTGCCGTGTCAGGGAATCGAACCATGGCAGATGGGGGTCGTAGCGCAGTGCGCAAACCACTGCACCACCCCTCCTCACAAAGACAAAGATCCCCCGTGTAGCCTTAACAGACTGTAGGGGCAAGTGCTGTTAGCGAGTAGCACCTATGAAGGCCGGCACGGCACACGAGGGGGTGAGTGGCCAGCACCACGCCCGGCCGCCTTTGTCTCCCGAGTAACGATGTTTACACACCGCACCAGGTATTCATTTGAGGCCGAGTCGAGCTAGGGGAGGCCCAGGATCGCTTTAGATCATCGTCACCGGGTGTTGGTGGTCCTTAGCGGGAATCGAACTCGGGTCTCCGGGTTCGTAGCGCAGCGCGCGATCCGACACACACAGGACGACACACACAGAACGACACACACAGGGCGACACGGATGGACATGCAGTCTGCCGGAGCAAGTGCTGTTCGCGAGCTCCTACTCATGGGTGTGTCCAGAAACCCCGCCCGACCGCCTTTGTCTCCCTCGTGCTACCTTCACGCCGCACCGAGAGCTCGTGCACACACGGGGGGTGCCCACAGCAAGGGGAAGAATTCCCCACTAAGTGGTGGTGACGGCAACACCTGCGCGTGTGCCAGGCTAGGTGCACCATTAGGAGGTCGACGCACGCCTCTAACCACGCCCCGTGCACACGGCAAAGACAAAGATCCCCCACTCACCCACCTCCGATAGCTTTAAGAGAGCGTTCGTGGCCAAGTGCTTGCTCCCGAGGGCGCACGCAGCGAGCGCTCCCTACCGAGACGAACTCCGCTCGCCCCGTGCGTGGAGGCCGCCTACGTGCTGGTCGCCGATATCGCACCCGGCCGTCTTTGTTTCCCTGGCGCTGATTTTCACATCGATCCCCCCCTCCCCAAAAATCCTCTCCCACCCCCCCCCCCTAATGACCTCCCCAAGGCGAGCCGCGCACCCGGTGGTGAAGTATGGATGATATATTTTTTTGGGGGGGGGAGGGGGCGGTGTCGATACTTTTGTACAAAGTCCCGCGTGGGTGTCTGCCCGGAGCGGAGAAATGCAGGGTAACACGAGGTGCGGGGCACTGCCGCTTGCCGTGGGGGGGGGGGGTGTTGGAGGGGGGGCGTGTTGGAGGAGGGGGGGGCGTTGGAGGGGGGGGGGTGTCCCTTCACCATACTTCACCGCGCTGGTCGGTATATGAAAAACGGAAACCCAGGACAGGTTTCAGTGATCACTCGGCGCTAATGTTCGCCGTGGCCGGGAATGGAATTCAGATCACCGGGTTCGTAGCGCGATGCGCGCTGCCCTCTGCGTCAGCGCTGCAACCAACGTGCCGGGAGAGAAACGTGAAGTCACTCGGGTCGGGATCGGCGTCATCGCTGCCAAACTCTGGAGTGTCATCAAAGAGCTTTGCGAGTTGGCTGTCGTGTGCGGTCGCTGTGCAGCAAAGTGCGTTCTGGAAGCCCTGGGGTTTGAATTCGCCGAGCCACGGTTTTTTCAGGTTGTGTTTGTGTTTGTTCGTTTCCCGTGTGTACCAATCATCGGGTGCGTGCGGCGTGTAACGGCGTAGCGTGCTGCTACGTGCGGGCTTTTCGCGGCCTTGAGCCTGGGCGTCGGGCAAATCAGATGCGAGCGTGTGGGGGGGGAAGACGAGGGGGTTTGGGGTGGCTGGAAGGGCCTCAATCCAGTCGGCTGCTGCTGTGGTTTTTTCGGTGGCCGCGCCCGTTCACGACACAGGGAGGGGGGAAAGGGAGGGGAGGCGGCATGGCGCATGAATGTATCCATTAAACAAACATGCAGATCGTGAGAAGATGTTAAACGTGTGAGAACTTTACAGGGATGTTTGTTAAGAAAAAAAATACAACTTTAATGAGAAAACAAATAAAAATTGTGTCAAACGTTGCGTCCAAAGAGCGTTTCGGTGATTTCTCGCGCGGATTCACTGAAATGTGCGATAATGACCCCGCATCAGCACCACCACCACCGTCATCATCGTAATCGTGAGCCGCTACGTCCGCACTCATCCTGCCTCGTCATGCAGGGCAGCCCTGTGCACGAGTGTGTGGAACCCCGTTCTGTGAACCACAAGTTCGCGTTCCGAGGCGTGAGGCCCTCGGTCACTGTGGCACCCCTCCCCAGCAGGTGGCTTCTTTCACCCAAACGTTGAGGCTCCCAAGACCCCATTGCAGTGTCGGCTCCCCCCCCCCCCCCTTTGTTTTTTGGGCGGAGAATTCAACTCTTCCAAGAGGGCAATCCTGGGGTGGGAGAGTTAGAAATTGGATCGCTATTCTCTCTTCGGCGTGGTACCCAAGGTGATAATGCTGCAAGTGACTTGCAGCATTATCGCCTGCCCAGTAGTCGACTACTGGACATCATCTCTGGCTACTGGACAACTGTGAAAAAGAGCTTTATATATCTTCTTGGTTCTTTCGGTAAAGTCACGTAGAATGGAAATAATAAAATAATAAAAATACAACTTTATAGAATATTTTTATTACTTTATTATTTCCATTCTACGTGACTTTACCGAAAGAACCAATATGAATCCCTGTAGTCACGAAAGCTTTAAATCGAAAGAGCTTTATATACTCATCGGATTCCTCGAGTATAACTACATATTCTGATTCTGACTCTAATCGTATTCAAGCGTCAGGAAGTGTTGAATGCGAGTACCCAGCAGAGCACCAGAGCAGCTGCGTGAGTCACGGTCCCAATATTCACCCATTCTCGGCATCAGGAGGATCATACGAACATTCTCACGCAACTTTCTGCAACCCGCTGGGACTCGGCTATTGACGGCGGGGGGGGGGTGGTGGAGGTTGACTGGGGTCCTGGTTGGTTACCAAACCCCCAATGGAAGAACGGCGAGTGTATGTTACAGATAACAAACCAATCATCAATGGTCAGATCACCGCCATGGTTAGTCCGTGTCAAGAGAATCAGGGTCACGTTCATGGTGCTGCCAAATCCGCAGTGCTGCAAGACGTCCCCGCTTGAACCCAGCACCCCCCCCCCCCTCCCCAAGCTGCTGTGGATGTGACCGAACAGCAGGTTGCCAATTACACAGGAATGATGAGCAGCGCCTACAAATAAGTATTATTTTATCCTGAGGAGGCACTTAACCAAGCAGCTGTGGATGGAGATCATAGAAGGCATCGGACTAATCAGCCTTGCCCTCATCCCATAAAGATGTCTCCCAGAAGAGTCATTGGCAACCACCACAAATGCCTTTCCTCGCCTGCTGCGAATGGTTAAGGCAAGGCCACAAAACAGTTTTCGACACGATCATACAAAGATCCGCCGCCGTATATCCTGTTGGGGCAAGCGTCGTTTGCGACCAGCACCTATGAAGGCCCACAACCACACGCACACACCCACACACTTACAGACACCCCCATGTACACATTCATTTAATCATGTTTTTGCACAAAGACTACACACATCTCCGGGATTCATATTTTTACACTTTAAACAATTACAGTGATCACAGTTAATAACTTCTGTCTGGGCATCAGTGAGCGAGCAGCCACCAGAAATGTTCTGTGCAGGTGATGCACGTGAAATGTATCATTCGTTACCACAAAACGGGGAGGACAAAATCAATTCAAACTCCGTACGCGCACGAAAGACACGTGCCCACAGGAGGTGGCAGTTTCCCATGCTCCAGCGCTCACGGCCCTCTCCTCCTTTAACCAAATCGCCTCCGTTCAAATGAAAAAATCCGCCGTTTACACGCCACACAGCCGACGATTCTGAAGAACACGGTTCGTACGACGCGGCAGCGTTGGGTTGACGAGATCCCGCGTGCCCACAGTGAGCGAGAGGGCCGATTGAAATGATTAGAGATGGTCCGTGCGTACGGTGCTCTGAAAACACCGGTTCAGATGAACGTCGTCCGAATTGGCGGATCTTGCCAATCGTCCAGGCTGAAATGGAGATCACGAAACGTGGAAAAAGCGGAGCGCGATGGCTTCGTGACGGACTGGAGTTTGGGAAACCACAATCCACAATTCCCGACGACTGATCCGGGCCAGGTTTGTTTGTTTTTTTAAATGGAATCTGGTGATTTAAAATTTCTAAGAAAAAAAGAAACGTTCCAAGACCCACAGTGAACATAAATACCATTAGCGTCGCAAATCAGAGTGGTGTACTATTGACATTCATTATTATACTTGAACAAAAACACACTTACACACGTAAAATCAGGTGGGTGATGGATTCCACAGCTTAGCATACACCGGGTGGTGTGAAGGTGGCGGGTGATGAGTTCCAGAGTTTGGCACCGTGGCGGTGTGAAGTGTGTACATGGCGTGCATGTTGCACTTCTTTCGCACCGTACGTAGCCAACCGTGCTTAGCGGAGGTGCGGGGGAAGAGAGAAGCGCGACCAAAACTCTCGCCGTGGTGACCGGGAGGGCCCCGGCAATCGGCGATTGTCCCCTGGCTTGAAACCGTGTGTCCTCGCCCCATCGTTACGGGGTAAAGGGCGAGAAGCTTCCTGAGCAGTGGGGCCCGGGGTTTGGCAGAGGAGCGCGTGGGGCCTGTGAGCGATGAGGCGGTCACTCAAATGGGGGGGGGGGGGGGAGCTGGTGGGCAAGGCCGGCGAAGGGAAGGGATGCCAGCAGCTCGCCACGCGCGTCCCGGCTGAGTTTCCCAGAAACTTGAGGTGCTTTAACACAATGGGCCGTACACAGACGGGCGGCCGTAACATTTCGCTGACCATGGTAGCGCCGGCCGAAAAGGCCGAGAGAGGTGAACATGAATCAAGTAACTTCCAGCGAAGCGCCGCTTGCGCTCCGAGCGTGCGCAAGTTCAAATCCCAGTCAGGGGTCAACTCAACCCATCACAGAGGTCGCAACCAGGTACCCGATACCCGTACCCTACCCGATACCCGGCTACCCGTACACGGCCGGGTAGGGTACGGCCGGGTACGGGTACCCCTTTGCCCCCTGGTACGGCAGGGTACGGGTAAGGAATCAAAACCCGTTTGCGACCTCTGACCCATCACCACCACCACCACCACCAATCCATGATCATTTAAAATGAGTAACGCCTTGTGGTATGTCAACAATGGTCGTCTGAGCGAAATGAGCCCCCCCCTCCAGCCACGTGAACGTGGAATTTCCACTGCTGCCTCAGGGGCCCCCATCACCAAGCGTAGACATACGCTCACTCGAGTAGAGAGATGCTGCTTTCGAGTCTGTCAAGAAAAACCCGGACTGGCTCCGTGTGGCACTGAAATGCGAAGTCGGAGCCGAGCCCGTGTGTGCGGATAAGTGCTTACTCGCTGGTGAATTGGGTCACGTGGGTGTGTGCGCGTGTGTGTGTGTGCGCGTGGACGCACGTATACACGTGGGGAGCGGTCGCGTGCAGCGCTACAAACCCGGCTCAAGTTCAACACCAGTGACGATTATCCGAACCGGTCGACACAGTCTCAAAGTGAGTACCTGGTGCGGTGTGTAAGCATCGCCACTGGGAGAGACAAAGGCGGTCGGGTGTGGTGCTGGTGACTCGCCCCCTCGTGTGCCGTGCCGGCCTTCATGAGGTGCTCGCTAACAGCACTTGCCCCAACAGTCTGTTAAGGCTATATGGGGGATCGTTGTCTTTGCACGCATACATGTGTGTGCGGATAAGTGCTTACTCACTGGTGAGGTGGGTCACGTTTGTGTGTACGTATAACTGCATATTCACTAGTGAGATGGGTTGCATGTGTGTGGATGTGTGTACGTCTCTGTGTGTGTGCGCGAGCATCTGCGTATACATCTGTGTGTGTGTATCTGTGTGTCCATCTGTGCCGATCTCCGCACTGGTTTTCATTCGAGCTCTACCAGGACGTCTCCCTCCCCCACCGTGTCTCCGGCCGCGAAGTGAATGGCCTTGACCTGAGTATAGGGGCAGAGAGAGGGAGGGAGAAGGAGGGAGAGAGGCCACCGCAGATCACGTGAGTGAAGGGTAACGCCGGAGTGCGTGCACGAGCGAGCGGGCAAAGACGGACGGCAAGGATGGTGCTGCAGTGTAAACACTCGCGCCTCAAAGCCAGAAGTGCCTGGGTTGGATTCCCAACTCAGAGGCCTTTCTGTGTGGAGTTTGTATGATCTCCACCCGTTCTGCAACAGATTTCCTCCAGGTTCTGCGAATTTCGCCCAAAAGCTACAAAACACGTACACTGTAACTGATATTGACCAAACATCCCATTGTTGAAGAACTATTTGCAAGTGACTCCATTATACGTAGGTATGTTGAACTTCTTTCGCACCTACCATGCTAATCAGAGGTGCGGGGGAAGGACAACAAAACTAAACACAAAATTTATTTTCAGTTTAGATTACACACAGAGCAATATCGCCCTCTCCCCCGCCCGCCACTACAAAAAACGTGTCAGGACTCTGCTGAAAGAGTCATGAGACTGATCGAGGCCTTTCCAGGTAAACGAGTATAACAGTAATAATAAAGTCTGTGTTTGAACGTGTGAGTAGGCATGCATGCAGGTACGTGTGTAAGCGTTTGTGCGTGTGTGCGTGTGCAAGCGTGTATGTGTGCGCGAGGATTGTCCAAATGTTTGTGCGTGCGTACGTGTGAAATCGCGTGCGTGTGTGCGTGCGAGTTCAATGTGTTATGCAGCTGTGTGTGTCTGCATGCAAACCACACACCTGCCCACTCCTGCTGGCTGTCAGACTGTTCTGCATTTTCATGGCCTCAATCACGCAGACCTCCTGTCCAGCAGACACCTGGGGCGCAAACACACAAAGACAAAGACCCCCGTATAGCCTCTGACTGTTGGGGCAAGTGCTGTTAGCGAGCACCTATGAAGCCCGGCACGGCACACCAAGATGCCGGTGGCCAACACCACTCCTGGCCGCCTTTGTCTCCCCAGTGGCGATGTTTACACATCACACCAGGTACGCATGCGAGGCTGAGTTGACCTAGGGGAGGCCCAGGACGGGTTCAGATAATCGCCACTGGTGCTGGCCGTGAGTGGGAATTGAACTTGTGTCGCGAGGTTCATAGCGCAGTGCGATAACCACGACACTACCTTGAACAGGCTGTTGGGGCAGGTGCTGCTAAGCAAGCAAGCACCTATTGAGGCCGGCACGGCACACGAGGGGTGGTGGGTGGCCAGCACCACGCCCTGCCACCTTTGCCTCCCCAATACTGAAGACTGTCATTGACACAAGCACACACGCGCGTGCAATCACATGTGCTCACGCACGTTGTGTGTGTATACGTGTGCACGTGTGCGCCACATGACAGCGAGCTCCGATTAAAATTCAGGATTTTGTGTGTGTGGGCGTGTCACGCGCGCAATATTCAGGGAACATCAGACGCGTGTGATGCACAACGGCTTCATGTAGAGTTACAATAAATGGTTTTCCAGGCCGCTGGTTGACTGCCGTGGGTGGCAATGGCAAAGCCAGGATTTTCAGGTGGGGGGGGGGGGGGGGGGCAACCCCTCCAGCAATGAAAAACGATAGAGGAGTTGTTAGTAAGTAAGGAGTTGTTAGTAAGTAAGGACTTGTCCCTTGCTTTTTATTCGACGTGTGTGCGGCGATGGCACAGCCATCGATCGAGGGTCGAATTCGAACCGCGTTGTGTGATCGGCATCGCGCTCGCTGAAGGTGTTGATGCCTTCAGGGAAGTCGTGTGCTATGTACGCAACTGCGCACAATTCTGTGAGTCACTTATAACCGCTTTGCCGTTACTTATTTCCAATTATGGACTCAGACTATTGTCCTATCATCTCATAGAGTCCCTGGCACGTAATAATATGCTACACAGTGGCAGTGGGGGGGGGGTCGCAAAATGCCGATTTATTACTAATACACCCCAATGATCCGATCGAAATTAGGGATTTCAATCTGATCATTGGGGGGGCACGTGCCACCCCACCCCACCCACCCCCCCCGGCTCCGCCAGCGGCAGGTGGCGTGTGACTCGTAGCCAGCGGTAAACTGGATGTGCCGGGGGTAGAAAATATGTCCCATGTCGCCGACCCAGACAGCCGCCGGCTACAATGACACCCTGGGTCCCAAGTCAGCCTACACGGGTTCTACGCAACGCTACCGGGGGCCACGCAAGTCAACAACGGGAGTCCCAAGTTGGGGTTGGCGCCGTCAGGAAGGGACCGCGGCACACACCTGGTCTCCGGCTTTGCAGGAGACGTTCACCACGGTCCCTGGCATGGGCGACAGCACGAAGAGGGAGGTGTCCTCGCGCACGCGCACCGGCATGTGCTGCATGAGCGCCAACACCGCCGTACGCAGCACCTGCAGCTTGTACTGCACACAAAGACAAAGATCCCCCGTGTAGCCTTGACACGCCGTTGGGGCAGGTGCTGTTCGCGAGCGCCTGTGAAGGACGCAACGGCACACGAGGGGGGTGGGTGGCCAGCACCACGCCTGGCCGACTTTGTCTCCCCCAGTGACGATGTTCACACACCGCGGCAGGCTCTCATTTGAGGCCCACGGGGAGGCCCAGGACCCGTTCAGATAATAGTCACCCGCGGAGCGGGAATCTAACTCGGGTTGCCGGGTTGACAACGCAACGCGCCAACAGCTACACTACCGCACACACACACGGGTAAACACAGAGGCACACATGGGTATATATATACACACACACACATGGGTATATATATATATACACACACACACACACGTACACACAGAGGCACACATGGGTGTATATACACACACATGGGTATATATATATATATACACACACACACATGGGTATATATATACACACACACACACACATGGGTAAACACACAGACACAGACACACAACTTGTGGTGGTGGGGGGGGGATTCGTTGCGTGGTGCTCCATTACCGTGGTGCCCTGGTACTGGATGCTGTAGTTTCCAGCCCCGTCTCGAGACAAGCACTGCAAGAGACACACACGTAAACACACATTACACACACACACGCACGCACACACACGCACACGCACACACACACGTACACACGTACACACGCACACACACGCACACACGTACGCACACACACGCACTCACACGTGTCTCCCCATACCCTCGTGTGCTCCCGTATCCCTCACCCCCCCCCCCCCCCCGTGTCCGTCAGTGTCCCCGAGTACCCCGAGTCTCCGCGTCCTCGTAACCCCGTGTCTCCCCACCCATGTGTAACGGTCACCACGTGTGCACGCATGTGTGACAAAGGTTGTGTTGTCATGTCCCCGTGTCTCCGTGCAGTGTCCCCGTGTCTCCGTGCAGTGTCCCCGTGTCTCCGTGCTGTGTCCCCCTGTCCCCGTGCCTCACCTGCACGGTGCGGGTTTTTCCATTGATGCTGACCCGAAGGAGCGGAGACGCGAGGTTGATTTCGCCAATAACTTCGACCTTCACTCCGTCCAGATCAACCTGAACCCATCACCACCATCATCCCATTCATCATCACCATCATCACCATCACCGCCACTCGCACACACATCCTCTCACCTCGCCCGACGCGCACTCACGCGCCCATCCAACCACACATCACGCACACTCTCACAGACGCTCACTCGACTCACACAAAACTCGCGCTCATGGGCCCTCACTCCCACAAGCTCCAACAACGATAAAGATCGCTTGTAAAGCTTTAACAGACTGTAGGGGCAAGTGCTGTTAGCGAGCACCTGTGAAGGCCGGAACGGTACACGAGGAGGTGGGTGGCCAGCACCACGCCCGACCGCCTTTGTCTCCCCAGTGGCGATGTTTTTACACATCGTATCAGGTACTCTTTTGAGGCCGAGTCGACCTAGGAGAGGTCCAGGACCGGTTCAGATAATAGTCACCTGGTGTTGGCCATGAGCGGGAATCGAACTCTGCTCGCGGGGTTCGTATCCCAGCACGCTAACCACTACACCACCGCTCCCCACACACTCCAACGCGCACACACGCGCACACACAAGCCACAACACGCACACACACACACGCGCACACACACGCCACAACACGCACACACACACACGCCACAACACGCACACACACACACACTCCACAACACACACACACGCCACAACACGCACACACACGCGCACACACACGCCACAACACGCACACACACACACGCCACAACACGCACACACACACACGCCACAACACGCGCACACACACACACGCCACAACACGCGCACACACACACACGCCACAACACGCGCACACACACACACGCCACAACACGCGCACACACACACACGCCACAACACGCGCACACACACACGCCACAACACGCGCACACACACACGCCACAACACGCGCGCACACACACGCCACAACACGCACACACACACACGCCACAACACGCACACACACACACGCCACAACACGCGCACACACACACGCCACAACACGCGCACACACACACGCCACAACACGCACACACACACACGCCACAACACGCGCAAACACACACGCCACAACACGCGCACACACACACGCCACAACACGCACACACACACACACGCCACAACACGTGCACACACACGCCACAACACGCACACACACACGCGCACACACACGCCACAATACGCACACACACACGCCACAACACGCACACACACACGCCACAACACGCACACACACACGCCACAACACGCACACACACACGCCACAACACGCACACACACGCGCACACACACTCCACAATACGCGCACACACACACGCGCACACACACACACGCCCCCCTCACGCTCGCGCACCTCGTAGACCCCCTGCGAGCCGAGCTCCCCCGCCAGCTTCACTCCGTGGCTCTGCCCGTCCAGGGACACGGCCAGGTCCAGGGTCTCCGAGCGCGGCTTGTTCAGCATCGGCCTGCGGCAGCAGCGGCAGCAGCAGCAGCAGCAGTCAGTAGCAACGGCAGCAGCAGCAGCCACACGTCAGGGATGGCACAGGACAGACGCGTGTGTACGTACGTGTGTGCGTGTGTGTACCAGAGTGGTTGAGAATGGTTGTGCGTGCTCCTATGGGTGTGTGTGTGTATAGCGGTGGCGTCGCGGTTAGTGTGCCGTGCTACGAACCCGGCAACCCGGGTTCGATTCCCGCTCACGGCCAACACCAGTGGTAATTATCTGAACCGGTCCTGGACCTCCCCTAGGTCGACTCCGCCTCAAATGAGGACCTGGTGCGTTTTTTAATATCGCCATTGGGGAGACAAAGGCGGTCGGGCATGGTGCCATCCACCGACTACCTCGTGTGCCGTGCCGGCCTTCATAGGCGCTACTCGCTAACAGCACTTGCCCCAACAGTCTGCTCAGGCTATACGGCGGATTTGTGTGCGTGTATGAATGTGTGTGTGTATATTCGTGTGTGCGCGTGTGCACGTGCATCGATTAAGGAAGGCTCACACGTCCTCCTCTATGTGCGTGTGTATATCCACGTGTATTTGTATGGGCTTGTGTTCGTGTCTTTGTATACGTGTGTGTGTTTGCACGTGCAGCTGGGCTGGTTGTGTGCGTGTTGTGGTGTGTGTTGTGGTGTGCGTGCGTGTTGTGTTGTGGTGTGTGTGCGTGTTGTGTTGTGGGGAGCGGTAGTGTAGCAGTTAGCGCACTGCGCTACAAACCTGGCGACCCGGGTTCGATTCCCGCTCACAGCCAACATCAGTGACGATAATCTGAACCGGTCCTGGGCCTCCCCAAGGTCGACTCAGCCTCAAATGAGTACCTGGTGCGATGTGTAAACATCGCCACTAGGGAAACAAAGGCGGCCGGGCGTGGTGTTGGCCACCCACCCCCTCGTGTGCCGTGCCGGCCTTCATAGGTGTTCGCTAACAGCACTTGCCCCTACAGTCTGTTAAGGCTACACGGGGGATCTTTGTATATACGTGTATGGGCTTGTGCTCATGTGATCGTGTGTTCGTGAGCGTGTGTCTTTGTATACGTGTGTGTGTGTGTGCGTGTGTGTGTGTATATACGTGTGTGTGCATATACGTGTGTGTGCATACGTGTGTGTGCGTGTGCATACGTGTGTGTGCGTGCGCATACGTGTGTGTGTGTGTGTGCATACGTGTGTGTGCGTACGTATACGTGTGTGTGCGTACATATACGTGTGTCTGCATACGTGTGTGTGCGTGTGTATACGTGTGTGCGTGTGTATACGTGTGTGTATGTGTATACGTGTGTACGTGTGTGTATGTGTATACGTGTGTGTGTGTGTGTATACGTGTGTGTATACGTGTATAGTGGGGAGCGGTGGTGTAGCGGTTAGCGCGCTGCGCTATGAACCTGGCGACCCGGGTTCGATTCCCGCTCACGGCTAACACCAGTGACGATTATCTGAACCGGTCCTGGGCCTCCCCTAGGTCGACTCAGCCTTAAATGAGTACCTGGTGCGGTGTGTAAACATCACCACTAGGGAGACAAAGACGGTCGGGCGTGGTGCTGGCCACCCACCCCCTCGTGTACCGTTCCGGCCTTCATAGGTGCTCGCTAACAGCACTTGCCCCTACAGTCTGTTCAGGCTATACGGGGGATCTTTATCTTTGTATACGTGTATACGTGTGTGTATACGTGTGTGTGTGTGTACCTGGGCTGGTTGAGGAACGCGCGCGCGCGCTCCTGGTAACGAGCGTAAAGGCAGGCGGTGATCGCAATCAGCTCCTTCCTCTCCACGTTGCTCAGCACCCGGCCTCACACAACATCATCAACGATATCACCATCAGCATCATTCACAACAGCAACAATTACAACGACGACAACAACAAACACTAACAAACTGTAACACTATACCTCAGTGCTGTGGAGAAGGGTCATTGCCCGAAACGTCACGTATTATACGGGTTTTCCTTTGAGTGTAGTTGACAAGTTCTTTGAGCTTTTGTTGTTAATTGTGCCACTGCCAGCAGCACCATTAGTCCTCCGTGTTAGTGATGTCTAGGGTAAGGATTAGGGGTTAGGGCCAAAGTTAGTGTTGAGGCTATGGTCAGAGACACGGGCAGGGTTAGGGCTATGGTCAGGATTAGGGTCATGGCTACGTGGAAGATTCAGGGCTAGAGTGAGGGCTATGGTTGGGGTCATGGCTAAGGCACAGGGTCTAAGCAGCTAGTGTCAGGGTTAGGATTAGAGGATTAAGGGGTGAGGGTTACACTCAAGGTTAGGGTGCGAGAAGAGGTCACGAGTTCCGAAAGGGTCAGTTGTGCTCGGCGGAGGACGGGGGGGTGGTCGGGCACCGGGAGGTCGAGGGTCGTGGTGGTGCGAGTGAGCCTCACCTTTGAACCCATCTGGGTAGACCTCGGGCAGGAACTTGGTGGAGATGTCACCGGTGATGAAGCGCTGGTGAGTGATGATCTCCCTCAGCAGGGGGATGTTGTGGGTGACGCCTGCAGGGAGAGGCAGGAAACAAGAGTCAACAACAACAGGCGACATCCGCCACTCAGGAGAGCTGATGTCACAACGGCGCTTGTGCCAGGCTGTGTGCACTTTAAAGCTACGTGAAGCAAGGCCGTAGCCATGGAGTCAACATTGGGGGGGAATAAATCTTCCAGACGATCTGGGGGCCCCCCCCCAGAAAAAAATTTTGATTTGAAAACGAATTTCCTGCCATTTCATGCCTAAAATATATTTTAAAAAAATCACTAACACGTAGGATGGACTTTTTTTTTGTTTACAATAATGTCTAATAGTCTATTGTATTACATTGCTCTGTTTTTTTACCTTTTCTTGTTTCATTGTATGTAAATGGCAGAGATTGGGGATTCATAAAGTACAACCATAACCACAATCATATAAACAGAAATCTATTTTATATCAATATATTGGGGGGGGGGCATTTTGAGCATATTTGAATATTGGGGGGGGTGTGTGTGTGTCCCAATATATATTATAATTACGGCCTTGACGTGAAGTGTCGAAGGCTTGCTGGCAGGAGGTCACGGGACAGACCCAGGTGGTATGGGTTAACCGGCTGATATGACTGGAAAGAGCCCTTCACATCGCCCCGCCCTTCCACGTGACCTCATACGTAGGAGGGGCTGCCCACTCGTGATGAAGATGATGATGAGGAGGACTCATTACCCCGGATAACGTAGCTGTCCAGAGCTTCCACCATCCTCCGAAGCGCCTCTTTGCGATCCCCTCCATAGGTGACGAGCTAAACGACGGGGAGGACAAACATCAACCTCAGCGCCACACGCACACGCCCAGCCGCATCCATCTGTGAAACGCCGACGTTGACTCACGGCACCGGGGCAATCGTTCAATGCAGAGTCGACTTCCTGGGAGGCACGCGAACTGATTCGGATCCGAGGCGACTCGCCACCGACGTTAGCCGTGACCGGGAATCGAACCAAGGTTGGTCGCATTATAGCTCGGCGCGGAGAGTTGCGGCGAAACGTCTCAGAGCGAGCCTCAAGACGCGTCTCTTCAAGGAGGTTCCTGCCACATTTGGAACGCTTAGGAGAATTCTACGAATGAGTGTGGAGAAGACTCCTCGTACGCTCCAAGCTCAAGTTCACGAACACCCACTTGCTGTACTGCCATATTTGAACCCCAGCGGGTTTGCGGGCTTCACGCGCGTCTGTCTGGGCGATCCGACAAGCCCTCGCAGGAGCGCACCTCCCCCCGCGAGGCTGCTCATGACACAGACGTGACGGAGCTACCTTGGAGATCATGGGGTCGTAGAAGATGCTGATGTCGCTGCCCTCCGTGATGCCACTGTCGACGCGCACCTGCAAAGACAAAGATCCCCCGTATAGCCTTAACAGACTGTTGGGGCAAGTGCCGTTAGCAAGAACCCTATGAAGGCCGGCACGGCATACGAGGTTGGTGGTGGGTGGCCAGCACCACGCCCAACCACCTTTGTCTCCCCAGTAACCATGTTTTACACGCTCCACCAGGTACTCATTTGAGGCCGAGTCGACCTAGGGGAGGCCAGCAGCCGGTTCAGATAATCGTGACCGATGTTGGGTGTGAGCGGGAATCGAACTCGGGTCGCCAGGTTTGTAGCGCAGCGCGCTAACCACTACACAAACACACACACAAACACTCGCACACACACAAACACTCGCACACACACAAACACAAGCACACACAAATACACACACACTCACTCGCACACACACACATACGCCCAGGCAGGGTGGCTGGGTTGAGGGTTGAGGGGCGAGGGGGCCTCACGTTGGTCAGGTGGGTCGGCTCCTGGTACTGGGACAAGCGTCCGACGGACGGCAAGCCAAACGACTTGTACGGGTCCTGCACACGCACACGCGCACATATATAATACAACCCTATAGAATAACTTATGCAAAGAGGGTGGGTCGGGGCAGGGGCGGTGTGGCCTGAACCAGACATAGCCCAGCTTTGTCTCCCCAGTGCCGACGCTTTTACACATCGCAGCAGCTACTCATTTAAGACCGAGTCGACCTAGGACAAGCCCAGGACCGGTTCATATACTCGTCACCGATGTTGGCTGTGAGCGGGAATTGAACTCGGGGCGCAGGGGCAGTTGCGCTAACCACTGCACAACCACCACACAACAACAACAACAACAACCGCCATTCGCCACTAAGTGGCGGTGACGTCACCACGACGCTTGTGCCAGACCAAGTGCACCTTGAGGCCACGTGAAGTGTCGAACGCCCGCTGGCAGGAGGTCACGGGGCAGACCCAGGTGCCACGGGTCGACACATATAAACACACAGCCAGACATGCAGCCACACACACACACACACAAGGCCGCGGTGATGGATTGGCTGACCTCTGCGTAGACGCGGCACTCGATGGCCCAGCCCCGGATGGGAACCTCGGACTGCGAGAGGCGCAGGCGGTGGCCCGCGGCCACGCGGATCATCTCCATGACGAGGTCCAGCCCCGTGATGCACTCCGTGATGGGGTGCTCCACCTACATCGCCAGTAGCAGCCACATCATCATTAACATCATCAACATCGCCGGCATCAGCATCATTAAGATCATCAACATCGCCAGCCACATAATCATTAACATCATCAACATCACCAGTATCAGCCACATCATCATTAATATCATCAACATCGCCGGCATCAGCATCATTAATATCTACATCACCGGCATCAGCCTCATTAACCTTTTCCCATTTCGATGACGTATGTGTACGTCATGAGTTTTTCTTCTGATTCCGTTCCGATGTCAAAAAGGCCGGCCATGTCCGTGAAGGCCCTACGGGGGATGTTTGTCTCTGTGCCGGACCTGCAAGCGTGTGTTCATCTCCAGGAAGTAGAAGTTCCTCTGGGAGTCGACGAGGAACTCGACGGTGCCGGCCGAGGCGTAGCGCACGGCACGCGCCAGCAACACCGCCTGCTCCCCCATCGCACGGCGCGTCTGCGTGTCCAGGAACGTGCTGCTCGTGCACACGCACGCACACACACACGCAAGCACACACACACATACACACGCACGCAACACAGAGGTGTCATTGGGGGAAAATAAACATTCGTGTTAGAGGGCAGCCCGTGGAAGAGGATATCACGGAGCTACTGCCAAGAACCCCTTCAGGCAGAGGCGTACTATTTAAAAAGGGGCAGGAGCGTCTCCCTCTCCTACCTTGGGGCCTCCTCCACCACCTTCTGGTTGCGTCTCTGCACAGAGCACTCGCGCTCGTTCAGCCACAGCGCGTTCCCGTGCTCGTCCGCTAGCACCTGAGTAGCAAAGAGACACACGCACACAAGAGACAAACCCCCCCCCCCACGTAGCCGTTAACAGACTGTTGAGGCAAATGCTGTTAGCGAGCACCTATGAAGGCCGGCACGGCACACGAGGGGGTGTGGGTTGGCCAGCACCACGCCTGACCACCTTTGTCTCTCCCGTGGCGATGTTTTTACACACTGTACCAGGTTCTAATTTCAGGCCGAGTCAACCTCGGGGAAGCCCAGGACCCATTCAGATAATCGTCACTGGTGGTAGCCATGAGCGGGAATCGAACCCGGGTCACCGCAGTTGGTAGCGCAGCGCGCTAACCGCTACACTACCACTCCCCACACACACACGCACACACACACACGCACGTCCACATCTCACCGAGCGTCCACCCCGCGAGTTTCACGTCCACGTCATCGCCTCTGCCAGTGGCGAGGGTGATGGGAGCGCGACGAGGTGCGTGTCGATGCCGCGGGCACCTGTATCTCGATGTGTCGGGGGTTGTCGATGAATTTCTCGATGAGGAGGCGATCGTCTCCGAAGCTCGACGCCGCCTCCTGGGAGGAGAAGCGGAAGCCCTCCCTGCGGACGGAACGAAGACAAAGATCCCCCGCGTGACTGTTTGGGGGCCAAGTGCCGTTAGCGAGCACTGACGAAGGCCGGCACAGCACACGAGGGGGAAGGGGGGGTGTGGGAGGCAAGCACCACGCCCAGCCGTCTTTCTCTCTCCAGCGATGAGGTTTACAAAGCAGGTACTCATTCAAGGCTGAGTTGACCTAGGGGAGGACTAGGACTGGTGCAGATATTCGTCACCAATCGTAGTGCAGTCCCCTCCAACTGCCACGCACACAACCAATCCCCATAACACACACGCACACAAAAGCAAAGATCCCCTATGTAGCCTTAACAATTCATCCAGCGTTCTATGGTGTAGCATTCGCTAAATAAATAATGAATCCCAAATACTCAGTGGAGTGAACATGAAAGTTACACTTCAGGTTCTACACTGCAGATACTACAGATTCACAGCAATATAGATTAGATTGCAATAAAATGTTTACTTATTTATCCAAGAAAGCTATAACAAAGCTATTGGGCTTTACTTCAGGAGGGTCCTGCATAGGGCATTTTTTTACTTTTAAGATGTAAGTAGCCAATTAACCACGAGTGTTTACACGATAGATATTAGTTGTGCACGCACGCACTTAGTCTCCTCATCGTTCCACGCGATCCTCATCCCTTTGCCGCCTCCACCAGCAGAGGCCTTGATCATGACGGGGTAACCTGTAAAACACACACAGTACAACAACACTCATCCACACGCACACACAGGAATAACAACAACCACCACTCGCCACTCAGCGGTGTTGACGTCACCACGGCGCTTGTGCCACTTTGAGACCACGTGAAGTGTCGAAGGCCCGCTGGCAGGAGGTCACGAAACAGGCCCATGTGTCAATAGGTTGACTGTCTGAGATAAATGGCAGATGCACCAAGTGTGCTACCCCACTGTTCCAAATCTGAGTTTTAGCGGTCCGGCGCTCCGCTCGCCATTGCGAGCGTCACTCCTCTGCCCTCCGTTGTTGCTGGAGGGCGACTGCCTTCAACTCCCCAGCAGCGTCTTACCCGAACCTCATCCACAAGAGGCGGATCTTGACACTGCTAGTACCAGTCATCGGCAAGTCCAATCAGCTTCACATTGTTCTGTACCACATCAGTCCATCTCTTCTCTAGCTCGTGCTGCGCCCGGCCAAACAGAAGCTGCTTGGGCATGCAGTGGCTGGGCATTCGGTCTACGTGACCCAGCCAACGCAGCCTCGCTTGCCGGAGCAGCTCACGGATGGCAACACACATACACGCACACACACACACGCATAAACATATACAAGAATACAAAACACACACACAGACATAAACCAACACAACATGCGCACACGCACCGCAGAAATCTAGATCAGCGACCATGGACATTGAACACAAACACATCTCCCACCCATAACGCCGCCATGCTCGATACTAAACTCGCATGCAGGGTTATTTCGTTTAACCAGGTGAGAACTCAAAGAGACCAGGATAAGCCTCATTTGCAAGCACGACCTGGGGCATTAGTCTGCCGGTCGGAGGTGACGATTGCTGCCATGTATAGTTCCAACGGAGCAATTTGCAGTGTCAATTTGTAAATTGGCAAATTTTCACCCCGATGGAGGCACGCAATGGCCTGCACACCCGCAATAATAAACTCAGGCCGGCCACTGGATCACTGGATTTCAAAATGCGAACCTCTGCAGTGTGTAGAGAACCCGCTAGCGCTGGGGCGCGTCACCACCGCCTCTTTGATCACGCGGTCCCTATAGAGGATCGCTCTCAGAGTCTCGATTCAGCGCGATCGTCATTTTCCCCCCCCCCACCCACCCCTCGTTCTGTCCGCGCGACGCCCACTCACCGATTTCGCGCGCAATTTTCACGGCGTCTTTCGTGTTCTGGGGAATTCACAAAACGCACAAACGAAGAAATTAACCCCACGGGAACAGTCGGGGCCCTGCTGAGCAACAACAGCCAATGGAGTCGGAGTGTTGACGAGCGCGTTTGACGATCACCGATTGGTCTCGCGCAGGGGTCGGCAACCACAAAACAAGGAAAGAGACGTTTTTTGGTATTCAGTAAAAAAACTCGAAATTTAAGAGCCATAATGCATGCGAAAAACGTCACCAAGCAGTCCTTAAAGAGCCGCATGCGGCTTCGGAGCCGACCCCTGGTCTCGTGAGATAGCAGGCGGGTGGGAGACCAGGTTAAGCAAGCAGCATCGCAGGTGGCCGGGAGAGCGGGTGGGCTAGTGGGCAGGGCTCCAGGTGTGTGGAGAGCAGGTGGGTGGGAGACCAGGTTAAGCAAGCGGCATCGCAGGTGGCCGAGAGAGCGGGTGGGCTAGTGGGCAGGGCTCCAGGTGTGTGGAGAGCAGGTGGGTGGGAGACCAGGTTAAGCAAGCGGCATCGCAGGTGGCCGAGAGAGCGGGTGGGCTAGTGGGCAGGGCTCCAGGTGTGTGGACAGCAGGTGGGTGGGAGAGCAGGTTAAGCAAGCAGCATCGCAGGTGGCCGAGAGAGCGGGTGGGCTAGCGAGCAGGGCTCCAGGTGTGTGGACCAGCAGGCTAGCAGCCGGGCAGGGCTGCACCTTGACAACGCCGTCGAACCCCGGGATGGTGTTGACCCCGGCGGTCTTGGCGATGAGTTTACTCTCGATCTTGTCACCCATCGCCTGCAGCGCGTGCGTGTCGGGCCCGATGAATTTAACCCCTTCCGCAGCCTGACACGCACGCACAAACGCACAAACGCACAAACGCACGCGTGCCACGTGAATGCGGGTGCATGCAAGAGTGGACGTGCACACCGACGGTGCACACATAAAGAACACGTTTGCAGTACGCAAACACTTGCACACAAGAGCAAAGGAGCGTATACATACAGTACGAGTGATAACATACAGTCCACGATGGATTTTTCCCTATCGAACACTGCTACCCAGTAAGGCAGGCCGCAACATGCCTGTAACACCCGCTTTTGTTATGCCTGGTGATCGCTTATCTCAGCATTATCAAGCCCCAAATCCCTGCTTAGCTTCTGAGATCAGACGAGAATGGGCACATTGATCGTTAAAAACAAAAAAAATTGTGAAATCGAAAACTAAAAAAATATTCAAGAATGATTTTAAATTGTAATGATCATTTCCACGCTCAGACTGTCTCACCAGCTGTTTCGCAAACTCCTTGTTTTCTGACAAGAAGCCATACCCAGGATGCACCTGCACAACAAGAAATTGTAAAAGCCACCATCATCAACATCATTGCCATCACTTTCATCATCATCATCGTCGTCACCATCACCTCCATCATCAACCCCACTATGGCCATCAAATTTCCCCGCGACTGCCGCAGTGAATCATGCCGAGACCCGGCACCGCTGACATCCAATGATCCAATCTTGAGTATCAGCCGCATGTGATTACACTGGGTTCTTAAGTGTAGTGGGCTCAGCTGATTTACCAATGACTGCACAATAAAAATAACCCATCAGGCTATATCTGGTTTTCTACTTAAATTGGCCCGATCACAGCTCTTGAGAATTAAAACATCGGTTTGACCGTCATGCGACTAACATCACTCTCTACAGCCGAGCGGGTGGGAAAGCGCCGCCCCCTACTCTGTTGGAGCAGCCGCCGACACGGTGAGGCGGTCGCAGTGGCCGCTTGATCTCACAAGTTGGTGCGTGATATCCGCTTCCGGGAGCCCTTCTCCAACGTGAAAGGCTGCACCGGGTGCTGCTACGAGTTCCGAATGGGGTTCTTGGTCTCGTGACTTCACTATTCATCGATAGTAGAATCGCAACAAAACTTGAGGGAGTGGAAAAAATATTAATTAATCCTTTTCCCGCGCCAATGACGTACGTGTACGTCATCAGTTTTCCATTCCGATTCCGTACGCTTACTCTATTGGAACGGAATCAGAAGTAAAAGGCTGTGCGGGAGGGCGTGGGGCACAGTTTCAGTTTAAGAACGCAAGCGAGCGGCACGTGAAGCGCGATGGCCGTTGCTCTCACCGCCTGCGCGCCCGACTTCTTCACGGCGTCGAGGATGGCCGCCATGTTGAGGTAGCTCTGGGCGGTGGGGGCCGGGCCCACGCAGAAAGCCTCGTCAGCCATCTTCACGTGCACCTAACACCAGGCACGGGGGGGGCGGCACGAGAGTGAGGGTGGTGGAGGTGGTGGCGTTTATAACGATAGTGATGGCAGTGATGGTGATGAGGATGGTGGTGATGATGATGATGATGATGGTAGTGGTGCTGATGATGGTTATCGTGATGGCAGTAGGAGTGGTGATGAGGATGGCGAGGGTTGTATTGACAGTATGTATCTAGAACTTATTTTGCACCGTGCGTAGCAAACCGTGCTAATCGGAGGTGCAGGGTTAGGACAAACAAACTATACACAAAAAGCAGTTGTAAAGAAATTAGTTTTCAATCTAGATTCCAAAGTGCAGAGCTCCAGTGGCTTCTTAATATGGTTAAGGAAGAACATTCCAGACGGCCGCAGAAGCTCATCTGAAAGTGCGCGATGCGGTGACCGTCTTTGCTCAATGGTTAGCCAAAATCCTCTGCGAGGTGATGTGGTGGTAAAATTGTAATCATTATGATAACGATGTTTGACAGGCAGAATTATGATGACGATGATGATGACAGTGGTGAGGATGATGATGATGAGAACAATGTTTGACGGTCAGGATTATGACGATGATGGCGACGTTGGTAAGGATCATGATGACGACGACGATGTTTGACAGACAGGATTATGATGACGACGGTGGTGAAGATGATGATGATGACAATGTTTGACGGTCAGAAATATGACGATGATGGCGACGTTGGTAAGGATCATGATGACGACGACGATGTTTGACGGACAGGAGTATGACGATGACGGCGACGGTGAAGATTATAATGATGATGTTAACTGCGATCTTGATGATGATGACGACGACGATTGCAGTGGGAATGAATGTGCTGCGCTCACAGCGTTGGCGTCCACGTCGCTGTGAACCGCCACAGTCGTTATCCCCATTTTCTTGCATGTTTTAATCACCTGCACACACGCACAGACACACACGCAACACACAGACACACACAGACACACACACACAGACACACACACACAGACACACACACAGACACACACACAGACACACACACAAACGCACGCAACACACACAAACGCACGCAACACACACAGACACACACAGACACACACAGACACACACGCAACACACAGACACACACACGCAACACACAGACCAAGGTCCCACGTATCACCTTGCACAGACTTTTGGGGCAAGTACTGTTCGCGAGCACATTATGAACCGTAGGATTCCAAATTGTGTCAGTCTTGCTCAATGAAAAACACCCCTCGCACACTCACCCGGCAGGCAATCTCTCCTCGGTTAGCGATGAGGATCTTGTCGAAGGTCTGTGGTGACAAACATCATCGTGGTCGTTAACATAAACACGGTGCCACTGTTTGAATAAATTACGTATGATAATTTACAGGCCTTTGTCAATCCACTGCTCGATTAAGGCCTTCCCATGCCATGTCAGTCATTCAATTATACTTGACCACTCTGGGCAATACATGTCGGTGATGGCGACTGCCACTGATGTTATCCATCGCTGGGAATCGAGCTTGGGGTGCTGGGTACATAGCGACGTGTGCTAACCACTGTGCTGTTAAACTGACCATCCTACCATTTAAAAGAATAATAATTTCTCCCAAACGTTATGCAGATTGCTTCACCGGAATTTCCATGAGATCTCTCACAGAAAAGGGCATTGCCCCACAGGTGTTAGAGAACAGCCAGCGGACATCACATATCTTCAAGTGACAATCCAGTCTACACAGCAGGGGGCAGAGCTTTCCCATGCATCCTGCCGCTTAGCAGTAATTCCCATGACATGACAGCTGAACCGATATTTATAATTCAAAAACCTGGAATTCAGCATAATTCAATGCAATCTTTTTTTCGTACGTGACGGCGTACGGTTAACCTGAAGCGATGGAACCAGAACGCAGCGAGGAAGCGTGCACAAACGTCCCTCGACGCGTGTCGCCGGCAGACAGAACGGAGCCCTCACCTTCTCACTGGGGTCGTGGGCGGATGTGTAGATGGTGCACGCTCGCAAATATGTGACGCAGCACGGCAACCGCAGACACTGAGCGGGGGAAGCAATACCGACAACAGACATTCATCGACCGTTTGCATTCATCGTTACCATCGTCATCACCACCGTCATCATGATACCCATACCACCACTACATACCTGTCAACCCCTTATCGGTGCCTACGTTATTACAGACCAATTCAGACCTTATTGGTCACCCCGTGCCCTTATAAATCTCAACGTTCATCCTACAAAATCCCATCACAAGTGAAAAACACAAATAGACAAAAATTTAAATGTGCCCATATTGAAACGGCTGTACGCCGTATGGACCTGATAACTCAATTTCCCTTACAAGAATGCGGGGTTGTAAACCGTATGGGTTGACAGGAAAGCATCATCGAGTCAGAAGACCCATCCACAAGAGGATTCTGCATAGGGAAGTTTCTTTTAACGAACTCCCCAGTTATGCATGCGGTCAGCTCCCTGCACAAGGCCAGGTTCAAGATCTTCCCTGCCAATGAATGTCTGTCCCTTGCTCCCTTACAAAATAAATATTCCCACGGTTTCTGTACAAAGTCTTGAGATGCGAGGGCATCTAAATCAAACTTGCAGTGTAGTGGATCAATAATTAATTCTGAAGTTGTACAATTGTCATTTATTTATGTCGGAAAGCATCACAGAGTCTAAAAAATATTTTAGGAGCGTACTGCATTGGGATATTTAATTTAGTTTGGCTTCATGTTGAAGAAAATCTTGAGAAAACCCTTCACACATACGAGGAGTTCACTCAAAAGATCCACTATATAAACACTTGCTGACAAACCCACTTGCTGTACTGTCATACCCTAGTTATCTCACTGCCACTAACCCCTGCCTCCAAAGTGGTGGGTCGTAGGCATGCGCCATCACGCCCAGTGTGGAGTAATCAGGAGTGGGGAAATAATCGTGTTAATTGCTCAAGGTCATGACTGCCACCTATGTGAACACATGCACACACATGCACACAAGAGACACATACTTATTAGCGACAAATACCAACACACAGATACAAACACGCACACATACAGACAGACAGAAACAATAAGCACGTACATTCACACACGCGTAAATGCAAGCACATGTGTGTACGTGCACACGTATGCACCCATGTAGTGCCCACATGCACACACACACACACAAGCACACATGGTCACACAAAGACAAAGACCCCCCGTATAGCCAGTTAACAGACTGTTGGGGCAAGTGCTGTTAGTGAGTAACTTCGTGAAGGCCGGCACAGCACACGAGGGGGTGGGTAGCCAGCACCACGCCCGGCCGCCTTTGTCTCCCTAGTGGCGATGTTTGCACATTTGAGGTTGAGTCGACCTAGGGGAGGCCCAGGACTAGTGCAGATAATCATCACTAGTATTGGTCATGAGCGGGAATCGAACTTGGGTGGCCGGGTTCGTAGTGCTGTGCACCAATCACTACACTACCGCTCCCCACATCACACACGCACAAACACGTGATAATCTCTAACACATGTGCACACGCACGCACAATTACTACGTAAACGTGGAGTCAAGCCAAGGACAAGAGGTCATCACAGCCAATGTCGCCGATGCCATTGCACCCGTCGCCATCCCTTCTTTCATTCTACCAGATCCCTCAGCCCTTTCAGGGTCAACACCTGACATCCAACAATCAGGAAGAATACAAAGAATCTTCACAAGCTGGGGAATCCAATCCATTGAAGAAGCAGCCTTCGTTCTGTTGGCTCGTAGGCTCTAACACTGTGCTCTCAAGCAAAGGCACTACTGTAATCGCACGGAAACCCAACACCGTTATATTTAATTTATTTTCTAACTAGCTTGCCTGGTATTCAGGTGGTCGTGGGTTCAATTTCGACCCTCATGCCTGTACAGTATATTTTCAGTTTGTGTGTTCTCCCTGTCGTCGTGTGGATTTTTATCCGGGTCCTCTGCTTTTCCCCTCCACGTTTAGAAACATGCGTTTAAGAGTATTTGGCCGTTAGAAATTTACACCAGATAATCCACTTCGTTGAGCAATAATCTGTGGTCAGGTCACTTCTGAAAAAGAGCTGTATAGCTCTGTGGGTCTTAGCTGGTAAAAAATACAGAAATAGTTTAATAAGTAAATATTTTCCTGAAAATATTTCATAACTCAAAACCTATGAAGATTTTTTTTTGCGAATGGCGTGGGTCAGCTGTGTGGCGAGTGTCTTAGCGAATGGTTAATGGAGTGTTCTAGTTCTTGTGAAACTTTGTGAGGTCTGTTAGACACAGACAGACGCATTTCTGGGGAAGAGAGAGAGTGATAGGACTGAACCGTTCTTTATGTGATGCCAAAACGTAGCATTCATGGACATCTCTGCCAAGAACATTGGGCAACTCGGCACGATTTGTTGACAAACAAAAAGTGCACAGGCGATCTTCGGACCTACGTCGGGCTACGTTTCTAGAAAAGCTGCCGCAAGTCGGAACGACGCAAGCCGAGGCCGATTTTCCCGGGGAGAAACAATAATACCGTAGGGGATTACGATCCTGACAAAGGGTCCGATATGCAACCTTTTAAAGATTAGAATACAAACAACCTATTTAAACTACCAAATCATATATAAGGGTTGAGAAAGTTCTTGCCTCGATTCTTTTAATTCCTGGCCTATTTTGGACTGAATATTTGCAGTCAACGTGGGGGAATTGCTGCAATAAATCCGCAGGTGAAGGAACACCTTCATCAGGGTCATCATTTGAGCACCGACCTTTCCTTTTTTCACGAGCCATTTTTAAGGCCGAATTAAATTACAAATGCTTTAAACAATCACTACGAATGCACAGAGGTTTAGCAGCGGAGAGCTGTGTCGGCAGACAGCCTGACTGTGCGACGTTTCGCGCCTTTGTCGGTGTGTGTAGAACCGACGGCTGAGTGCAAGTCCTACCGGCGATAAGTAATAATGGGCGGAAATGATCAACCTGCCGTTGAGTGCAGATCGACGAAAGTCCAGGAGCTGCCTTACTGTATTTGTTTAACAGGCTTGACTGCTGATATGAGACCCACCCCACTGGAAATGAAACCAGACTAGGGTCTCATATTCTTGGTTCTTTCGGTAAAGTCACGTAGAAGGGAAATAATAAAATAATAAAAATATTAAACAATAAAATGCTCACGACGTTTCGACTGCAAGACAAGCAATCATCATCAGGTGTGAAATCCACAGCAAGACATTTTTTGTATTTTTTTTGTAGTGGATTTCACACCTGATGACGATGGCTTGTGTTGCAGTCGAAACGTCGTGAGAATTTTATTGTTTAATATTTTTATTATTTTATTATTTCCCTTCTACGTGACTTTACGGAAAGAACCAAGAATATGAATCCCTGCAGTCTCGAAAGCTTTAAATCAAAATTCAGACTAGGGCCACTCCTTAAACAAAACGTCACCGCTCCATCTCCGCGGAAGATGTTCCCTTGAACGTTTTCCCATTCCTTGGATCCCACTTCACCCTTGACCAACGACCATTCATTCCTTCTGCGGATTTGTCCTGTTCAAGCCAAATTATTTGACGCAATTAACCTGTGTATCAGAGGTCGCAACCGGGTACCCGATACCCGTACCCTACCCGATACCCGGCTACCCGTTCCCGGCCGGGTACAGGTACGGGTACGTGTAGCCATTTGCGACCCTGGTGTGGCCGGGTACGGGTACGGGTAGGCCGTGAGTCACTAGTGAGTAACCGTTTGTCACTCATTTCGGGTAGGGTACGGGTAGGGAACGGCTACCCGTACCCGGCCGGGTACGGGTAGCCGTTTGCGACCCTGGTGCGGCCGGGTACGGGTAAGGAATCTAAACCCGTTTGCGACCTCTGCTGTGTATGCTCTCCAATCCCCAAGCTCCCCTGTCGTTGAGTGTTTGTTTTTCACAGCATGCATTCCTCTCCGTGCTTCTTTGCACAATTTTGGTTCCAGGTTTGTTGGTAATCGCCACGTTTCTGAAGATTACGATGGGTAGTGCACATTGATAAGGCAGCCATCCATCCCCACATTTAGAAATTTAAATTAAAAGACCCTCCATTAAATTTTTATTTAAAGCTTTCGTGACTGCAGGGATTCATATTCTTGGTTCTTTCGGTAAAGTCACGTAGGAGGGAAATACTAAACATATAAAACAATACAATTCTCACGACGTTTTGACTGCAACACAAGCACTCATCATCAGGTGTGAAATCGACGGCAAGAAAATTTGAAAAAAGTGTTATCAAACTGGTCTCCACGAAATTAAAAGGCAACAATGTATTCCTTTTGCCAACGACGCCTAGGTTAAGGATTTAAAATCATTACACAGGGAAATAAAAACTTCATCTCGAGGGTGACTGACCAGCAATGAACTTAAGGTTAAAAGTTCGGAGTATGGTTAAGAATTGTGTAACGGACACGGCTAGAACAACAAGCGTGTACAATAGAGAGGTCCATCTTCTTGATTCTTTCGGTAAAGTCACGTAGAAGGGAAGTAATAAAATAAAATAAACATAACAAAATAATTATCACTGTGAGAATTATTTTATTATGTTTTATTATTTTATTACTTCCCTTCTACGTGACTTTACCGAAAGAATCAAGAAGATGAATCCCTGCAGTCACGAAAGCTTTAAATCGAAAGGGAGGTCGTCACCGAATAGCCTTGACGACAAATGTCACCTTTTCTAGACTTTGGAATGTGTATTTTGTTAATGTCTTCATAAGATTTTGACAGGTCATGTCTTCTGTTTGACGATTGTTAAGGTCGCAGACGACGACACACAGTTGGTTGATCACCAACAAGAATGTCTTTATAAGTTGACAATCCAGCCCACGTAGACATAGGAGGGCTTTTATTCGGATGTTTGGACAATTTCTACATCGAGTGTTGGTGTTTAATGTGGAATTAAACTGCATCATTGCCCCGATAAACCCAATGCAACACGCGGATGATTCCATCCCAACACCGAGCTGCGCGAACCGCGTTGTTGAAGAGGACAACCCCTTCAACCCACTTTCTGTACCGTCAAAAAACACGTTTAAGTAGCCACCCCAACTCACAATGCTATTCATTCATTCACGCTTAACTTTTGACACTTTAAATTAATTACAATAATGAATTAAATTAATTACAATAATCGAATACTGTACATCAGAAAAGTTGACATTGATAACACCGCCAACACAGAGACGTTCCGTGTTACTTTGTTTAAGCTTACACGGTGATCCTTCCCGTACCTCCAGAGGAGATTCTCAAGTTAAAATTTATCAAAATCCCGCACGATACCACCGTCTCGCACTGTACAATCAGCTGCAGGGTTACAGTGCGGCGCGCTCGGTGACAAGGGTTCAAATCCCACCGCGCGCTGAAAAATATTATTTTTTATTAAACATTTTAAACATACGTTTAACGCCACTACTTTTCATCGAGACGAAGCCCTGGAGAGTTTAAAGACGATTTTAAACAAATCACTCTTTGCGTTTTACCTGAGTGTGCCTTTGCAAGTCCCGCCGGCACGAAGACGCGACCCTGAGGGCGGCCATGCTGATGTGACGTCACGGGGGGGGTGGGGGCCCCCTGGCCAATCAGCTGCGGCCGCGGCTAAACGCCTATTTATATATTTATTTTCCTGTGACCACGTGGCCGTGCGGGGGGGGCAGCCCCCCCCCCACCCCGTCTCTGTATTTTATTGGGAAGCAGAAGTTATCTTCCGGAAGAGGTTTGTATCTTCCGGAAGATATCTACTGCATTTGAAATCCCTGTTCTCTCGGTAAAGTAAATATTAAAATAAAACAATAAAATTGTCACGACGTTTCCATTGAAAGAAAATGTTTAAAAAATTCTTGCTGTGGGTTCCACACCTGATGATGAGTGCTCGTGTTGCAATCTAAACGTCGTGAGATTTTTATTTTTATTATTTTATTATTTCCCTTCTACGTGATATTTACCGAGGGAACATGGATTTCAAATGAAGTAGATATCTTCCGGAAGATACAAACCACAGCAAGAAAAAACTGCCTACTTCAGCAGTTTTTTCTTGGTTATCCCACCTGATGAAGATTGCTTGCGTTGCGATCTAAACGTCGTGATCGATTTTATTTTCTACCCACGTGACTTTACCGAAAGAACTTGCAGTCACGAAAGCTTAGAATCAAGATTAAACACAAGAAGCTGTTTAATTATATAAATTCGTTTTCAATCTCGATAATTTAAAAGTGCATAGCTCCAGTGTATTCCTAATACAGTAAAACCTTGGATTGCGAGCATAATTCGTTCCGGAAAGTGTTTGTAACCCAAAGCACTCGTATATCAAAGCACTCTTGTATCAGTTGTGATCACGTGACGCTCGGCAGACAAAGCGTACACACGTACAACTCGTATTGCAAGACCTCGCTCGTTTATCAAATTAATATTTATTTTAAAAATTTGCTCGTCTTGCAAAACACTCGCAAACCAAGTTACTCGCAATCCGAGGTTTTACTGTACTGGAAGGAAGAACGTTCTATGCGGCCGCAGAAGCGCATCGGAAGGCGTGCGATGCGGTGACCGTCTTTGTTCGGTGGCGAGCCAAAATGCGCCGCTGCCGTTGCGAAGATGAGTTCGCGTGATGCTTCATGTTCTGTGACAACATCAGCAAAGTGAGGCCCACTGAGCTACAGAGCACTTGCTCAGAAGCGACCTGCCGACAAATGAGAGCCCCAATTGAATGGAGGGCAAGGGTCGGGAGGACCCCACATGGACCCACGGTTCTTGCCTCCCGTGACAACCATCATCGTCATCCACAATACACCGACTCCTAAAATATGTCCAGATCTGTCTACATTCCTATGGCGGGTGTTTGTCCAGCATCAAGAAAGTAAACGTTTTGATCTAAAAAAATGGTCACCGCCCGAAGCATCCAATTCTTTTTTTATTCTTTTTTTATTCTTTTAGTAATGGGTCACGCAATTGGAAGGTCGCGAGTTCAAATCTTGATTGTGGATAAAATGAAACTCACTATTGCAATGTCTACAGTGGTTGTACAGTACAATGGATAGATTCCCCACATCATTATGAAGTGGAATATCCTTCACTGGCTCAGGACTGCAAATAAGAGAGGCGAGCATTATTGAATAGTTATTCAGGGCATTCATCTGATGGCATGAGCATACAATGTGCACAACGAGTAAATAATCGATCATCACACGCACAATTCGATACTGATTTCATTCGCGATAGAATAATCTCTTGATCGGTCCAACCCTACGTGTACAGGAAAGACAACATCCATCAAAACAACCGCCCAACCGAAACCGATCCAAACCCCATAACTATGCCAAGGTTGAGCCAATGTTGGCATGTGGTTGGAATTGTTGGACCAATGTTGGCCCAACATTCCGTGTTTACCAGGGAGTTGCTTGTTTAAACAAGTGCTACTGGATAATATGGGTCTGCAAAGCCGAGAGGCTGATGAAAATCTCGCGACGGAGGTGAGATGTTAACTACCTCGCCTAGTATACACGAAGTCGTGGGTTCGATCCTGACCACTGACACCTCGATATTTGGAGTGTGTACGTCTCTCTCCCGGTGGTCGCGTGGATTTTTCTCCGGGTTCTCGGATTTTTGCAGACACATTTAGAATCAACATCACGCGTTTAGAGTATGTGGCTGCAATACATTTCCACATGATAAGCCACTTCGTTGAGCTCTCATTTGTGATAGGTCGCTTCTGAAAAATGAGCTGCATAGCTCAGTGGGTCTCACCGAGTAAAATAACAAAAAATCTGGCTGTCGCCTGAAGCTATTTGTAATTACTGGCGAAACATCGTACTCAGATTTTTATGTTGTGGCTTTGCTCTCCAACACACTGGTGTGCCGTACGAGTCACGAATTGGCACGTTCTGTTTACGTGACAAACCTTACTAATTGACTGTGTCGTGTGGTGGCGGGTTTAACGACACATTTATATATTTACGCGATCTAACCCAAAAAAAACCTCTGTATGATGCAAAATAAAAAAGACGGAAGTTTGTGTTGCCTCCGAAACGTCGTGATTTTTATTTTATTTTACTTTTATTAATTTCATTTTTTTACCTACGTGACTTACCGAAAAAACCTAAGAATATAAAAAAAACGTGTTTTGTTCGCTCAGTGGGGAATATCTCCCTCTTCGTGACGGCATCTTCCGGAAGCTGACGTCCTCTGGACTAGCGGTAAAAGCCCTCTTCTGGAAGAGGCAGACGGGACATCCACCGCCCGTAGGAAGTGGCCCGGCGCGACCCCATGGAGAAGGCGGCCAATGGGAGCGCGTGGCGCGTGCGTGGGGCCACGTCCCCCACCCCCACCGCGTGCGAGGTTGGGGTCACATGGGGACACGCGCGCGGGCACCAGATGTTGCAGTCCCGGGGACATTATTAGCATCCGCGCGTGCGTCCGTCAGAGGCAGGGTCAGTGAGTTTGTACCGCTGAGATTCTGGGTGTGAGTCGCAAAGTTTCTGGGGTTGTCTGTTGCAGGGTTGGTCATAATGGCCGTGTTCAGTTGATAGCGGCTGTGAGCACAGCTGAGGTTGTGGGGTCTGGGTGCTTACATGGGGACAGTATTGGTAGTGTCAGAAAAACTGAACCTGGGTTTGATTCCAGGGTTCAGTCCAATTTGGTTAAACCAGGTTGTCAAGTGTAGTGAGTTGACTTAACCTTGTTATCAATGAACAAACACCGTACTATACTAATTTAGGTTCAAGCCCTAGGTCTGGGTTTCATAATACCAGTGAGGGATCGTAATGTCCGTTGAGTTAATAATTCTTGTATGGTATATCCGTGAAACTGAGACCCTGAGTTCCATCCCTAGCGGCTAGGCATCTGCCTTAAAAGGGTTCATAATGGCCGTGTCTGAGACCCTAATTTGAAACACTCTCTCTTAGCCTGATATTACCATTGAGACACAAGTTATTTAAAACTGTTTACTAATATATTTTATATCTGATGTCCTGAAGTGTACAGTACAGAGTTTTCTCAGTAACGTCTGACCACATAAATGGCATTGTCAATGCCCTGATTTTTACTCTTCGACTATCAGCACACCAATAACACATCTCGGATTCGCTCCATTTTTTGTTGGAGTGGCAGCCAAGGAATTGAACTCGTCCGAGAGGATATCCGCAGAGGAGATGAAGCGGTGGAATCAGCTCATGCGCAGACATTACGCTGATCACAGCATCGCACGATCGGGATAGATGTCGGTTGCTTGGGGGGAGACCTTCATCCAGGAGTGGATTGATCACGTCTGATGATGGGAATGATAGCACAGAGACGGCAGTCTGATGACGACGCTACTGGGTACCCTGGACTGTGACGGGCAGAAGCAGGAAGTCGTGAAACACATGCGGGCGATAAAAAAAAAAATAGAATCTCAGCGGTGTGTAGTCAACACTTAATACATTCCTGCGGAGGGAGCTGGTAGGAGCGTTGGGTTGCTCGGTCAATGGCCAGGGTCAACGGCGGCGTGGTGTATTCCGCAAATATGCCCGACTGTGAGGGCGGGCACAAGCCGGCGTGAGTAGGTTAAACGTTGAGTTTTATAAGGGCACCACGGGGTGACCAGCCCCTCCCCACCCTCCCTCCCCACCCAGCCCCTCCCTGCACGACGGACACAATAATCCCCCGTGGGCTGGTGTAACCAGGAGGTTCCTACCAGTAAAACGATGTTTGTACTTCGGTATATCCTCGTGACCATAAACACATCAAGTCGTCGTCTAGAGGTCACTCAGTGGCTCAGAGATGCTGAGCTCAAGTCTGGGTTTCCACTGGCTGTGATCAAACATGTTCTCAAGTTCTCGCCCCCCCCCCCTCTCTTTTCCCTTCTACTGTCTCCTACCACAGCCATCCTCCTACATTACAAACAAAATGAATGTCCGACCGCCGCGATTTATCTGTGTAAATGAGACAAAAGGTGATCTGCCCCCCACTCTCCCGCGGGTTGTCTCTCCCTCCCCGTCAATCAGAACGCATCGGCTGCATCGGCCACGGTTATTAAATCCTTTATATTAAGTTCACTTGCTTGCTTGCTTGCGCGCTTATGACCGTGCAAATCTTTCGGTCGTTTTTTAACCCACTTCCCCGTGATCCAATTGAGCTGACATTTTGCACACAGACTCGTTGTGCGTGACAATGTATTTTCGTGAAAAAAATTCCAACATTTTACACTTTTTAGGAATTTTTTTTTATATTTAATTACCAATTGCTTAATGGTGGCAGGCAATCATCTGACCCATAGGTGGCAGCCATCTCAAGCCAGAGGACGAGAGGACTCTAGCCGCCACGCATTTAAAGGATTTATAGTGAAAAACTTTGTTTTTACGGGTTAATTTTTTTTTTGTTACGCACCGTTCTGCTCCGGGCCTTTGTGCACCGTGTTCAGCAAAATTCTCATTGAAAATATTTTAAAACAAAAGACGCGTTCTCAAGTGTCGTGAATTTATGGTCTGTGCCCAGTCACCAATGGCACGCATAGAGAGACCCGTAGACTTGCCCTGTATAGAGAACTGGAGACTTACACGCTTGTATACTTGCAGACACCCATAGACTAATACAAAGATCTATGGAAT